CTTCATGGTCCAGGACGGATTTGAACTTGGTCTCTCCCAGATCCTCGCACGACACTCTTCACCACAACTCCACAGTGGCACTCGAAGCACTGAGCAAGCATGCTTTTCTGGCAGAGCCCTGGTGGTGAGCATGGTGCGTCTCCGGGTCAGGGGCAGCAAGCCGGTTTGCCCCAACCACAACATTGCGTCAGTACTTTCCTTCTCTTTAAGAGAAACCACCAAACATTCATGTGTACTGGAGAAAATAAAAAGACATACTGCCTTTGTCTAGGATGTGACGCAAGTTTAGTCCTCTCTCTCTCTCTTTTGTTTTCTCTCTCTGTTTTCTTTCTTATTTTCTTTTCTTTCTTTTTCTTTCTTTCTTTCTTTCTTTTCACGTTTATACATTTCACTAGTTTTATACATTTCACCAATTTTACATTCATTTTGACATTTCAAAACTTCTTCTGCGGTTCCTTAAATTTATTTTTGATATATTCTGCATATCCAAATTAACTTAATTTGCTCCTTTATTCACCTTCTTTAAATATATACTCTTATGAAACTGCAGGTTGCTACAATAATCCTGCCAATGTTTTTATCTGTTTATGATTTTTCTGTAAATAGTCAATAAACCATTTCCATTCTTTTATTTTTTTAAAAAATTGCTATCTTGATTTCTTATTCTTCCTTAAGTTTTGCCATTTCTGCATATTCCATAAGTTTCTGTATCCATTCTTCCTTTGCTGGGACTTCTGCTTCTTTCCAAAGTTTAGTCCTTTCTCAGCAGACTGCAGATCATTCACACCCTCCCAGGTTTTGTTTTTTTGTCACATCAGCAGTGTGTGACAAAACCTTGGGAACTGGCATTTTGATGTCATGACTTCAGAGGCACATTTAGGGCAACGCGACCGCACTGGGCACCGAGCCTAGTGGGCAGTGCAGGGCGTCAAATCTATGATGTAGTGAAATGAGCAGAACAGAAGGTGGGGGGGAGGTGCCAAATTTTGGCCTCGCACAGGGCGCCGCTGAAATTTGAAATACCGAAGTCCACCTCTGGTGACGCCAACCTTGAACAGAGCTCCCGAAGTGAAACCTCTCTTTTCCCCATTTTTCTTTTCTGAAGGAAGAACAGAACAGAAGAAAAACACTCACAGGTATGGAGGTTCCACTACTGCCTCTTCCTAGAGGGGAGTTTTTGACACGTGTGATGGCATACTCAGTAGGTGAAGCTAATGGCACAGCAGTGTGTGTGTGTGTGTGTGTGTGTGTGTGTACAGAGGGGCTATTGCCCTGGGTGCAAAGTTAGAGAGGAGCCCCACAAAATTTCAAAAGAAAAATAATCCACTTTGAGGGGTTACAAGCGGTGTAAAAAATTCATGAACTAAATAATAATAATAATAAAATAAACGGTCGGCACTGTTCCCTCCCCAGCTTCCTTCTCCCTCCCAGGAAGACCCTTCCTCATCCCCCTCGCCACCCGGCCTTGACAGGAACCACCGGTTAGGGGGCACAATATTTGCCTTGTCCTGGAGGTGAAAGTTGCAGGCATCTCTTTTCTTTGAACGAGTACGTATGTCAAAAGGAAAACTTTTATTTTTGGAAACAGGGCACCTCCTAGTGTCCAGAAGTGCTTTTTGCAACATATAGTTTTGGCTGCTTGACTTCGGATGCATGACTGGCTTAAAACACAGCTAGGTTGTTTCTTCCTCACCTCCTTTGTTCAGATTAAAGCTGGTTTTCTGGAAAATGCATCAACATTCAGTGTCTCCTAAGAAATCCCGGGATAGATACAGGACTGATACGGATTGCAACTAACATTGTTGTGTGTAAACCATTTCCCAAACCAGTGGTGGGACTGCTGTGAATGTAAACTGCCCTAGAGGCACTGATTTTATCCCTATGGTTGTTTTTGGAGGAAAAGCAGACTTTGGGGCCACAAAATGACAATTCAAAGTGTTGGTGCTGACCTTTAAAGCCCTAAACAGTCTTGGTCCTGTATACCTGAAGGTGCGTCTCCACTCCCATTGTTCAACCTGGACACTGAGGTCCAGCGCCGAGGGCCTTTTGGCGGTTCCCTCACTGCGAGAAGTGAGGTTACAGGGAACCAGGCAGAGGGCCTTCTTGGTAGTAGCACCTGCCCTGTGGAACGCCCTCCCAGCAGATGTCAAGGAAATAAACAACTATTTTACTTTTAAAAGACAACTGAAGGTGGCCCTGTTTAGGGAAGTTTTTAATGTCTGATGCTGGATTGTTTTTAATATTCAGTTGGAAACCACCCAGAGTGGCTGGGGAAACCCAGCCAGATGGGCGGGCTATAAATAATTGTCAAGGCTGCCTCAAGTCTCAGCTCACAAAAGACCAACGCCTATGTCTTCTTATATACAAAGGTGTTTATTGCAGTTCATGGTTTGCTTGACATCCTAGGTGCGCAGCCTTACGTCTCTTACGCTAGACCGCTGAAGTCCCCTCTGAGTCAGTCCCTCCCCTGCACCAATTTAAGAGACTTGCGCTGCTCCACCTCTTTCTCTCCTTCCTTTTCCGCAGGGTCCTTCTGCCCGCTGGGGTTTCGCCCCTCCTGGATTCCTCTGACGCGGAATCAGACTGCTCTTCCCCCTCCTGCGGGCTTTGGGACCTGGCCCCTCCTCCGGGCTCCCTGTACTTCCGCGCGCCTCTACATTTGAACTAGGCGCGCGCGCCAAACCTCTAACTTTCCTTTTGACAGTTACACTACTCCCTTCACTGCTCCCTCCCCTTCCGGGAGGGCGGCTTGCTCTGACCCCCTCCTTTCTCTGCTGCCGGAGCTGCTTCCTCTGACACACTGGAAACTCCACCCCCTTCGCTGCACTCTGGTGGGGAGGCTGGTCCTGACGCCCAGCTGCCACTTTGGGATCCTCCGCTGGCACCCTGCTCCTGACACTTCCCCCTGGGGCTCCCCTGGCCTTGACCACCGGCGCCCCCTTCTGGGAATCCTCTGATTCGCTGGAAAGACTCATGGAATCTCTTGAGTCATTGTCATCCTCTTCCTCGCTGGCTTGGAATTCCTCTCCATCTCCTGCCTACCCTGTGCCTCTCTCCCTGAACCCCTGACAATAATAAATTATGATTATGATTATGACTCCCCCTCCTCTAAACAGTACCTTACCTTTTTAAGTTTTCACTGAGTTTTTGAGCTCCAGTTTCCCCTTCTGCTCCTGTTTCATCGCCATCACCCCCTTCCCACTGCCCTGGCTCTCTTTTTCCCCAGGTGATCCCAGCCAAGCAGGGATTATATGTAGGGAATGTGATGATATCACGGCACTATGTAGCCAATCAGATTTGGCTACGTGACAAGGCGGTTGAAAACAAATGAAACCAATCCTCGCCTTGCTCTAAAATGATGTGGGGCCTCAGCTGATGCCAACTCCTGGGAAATATTTGGAAGGTTTCTCCAGCCCTGTTGCAAGAGCTCATCCCTACTTCCATTTGCCCCACAATTTCTTAGGTCCCAGAGGTTTTTCTTTTGTCCCACCACTTTCCCCACTTTCCCGCCGTTTGCTGCTAAAGCAGAACCAATGTCAATCTCTGAGGAAACCCAACGTAGTTTGTTCTGATTCAACAGCAAAGAGTGGGTTTTCCCAGGGAAAGTGAAATGACAAAAGCAAAACCGCTCAGACCTGTGCCTGGAAATCAAGGGACATATGTTTCCAGTATGTCAGAGACCAGGCTGAGGAGTACGGCTCTGATGAGGAATGGTGGGAACCTCCCCCTCCCCCTGCTTCTGGCCAGGTTCCTGGAAGCTGCCCAGGAGCAGTGGAGCAGTATAGATTTAGAACAGTGGTTTGCAGAGGGGCATAATTCTGAAGCCAAAAGTTGGGAAGAACTGGGGGGTGAACAGCAAAGTGAAGAAGAACTGGAAGAGAGAGAGCTAACAGACTCTCTCTCACTGGAAAGTGTCCAGCCTATCAGTCCAAGGTCACACAGAGCAGATAAGGTGGCTACATAAAAAGCACAGTGGTTGCAAGATCAGGTTGCAAGGAGCGGAAGTGACTAGGGGGGAAGTGGGTTGTTGTTGTTGTTGTTTAGTCATTTATGTCAGGAGTGCTCTGATGGTGTTTCCTGCTTGGCAGGGGGTTGGACTCGATGGCCCTTGTGGTCTCTTCCAACTCTATGATTCTATGATTCTATGATTCATGTCCGACTCTTCATGACCCCATGGACCAGAGCACGCCAGGCACTCCTGTCTTCCACTGCCTCCCGCAGTTTGGTCAAACTCATGCTTAATTGGAAGCACCTTCATTCCGAGAATGGATGCTTTGTTCTTTTGCTGTGATCATTAAAAACTCTTTAAATAGTGAGAGACTCTTTTCGCTTTGTTCTGCTTATCTACGGTCAAGGGGAGGGGGTGTAGGAAGCCAAGTCCCCGAAGCCTGACACGGTACAGCAACAAAACTCCATGTTCCCACAGGCCCTCCAGGAATGGTTCTGAGTTGATGGCAGTTCCCAGTGCTTGAGCTCAGGACCTCATCTCTTGAAAGTGAGCCAGCGCATCAGCATCATTGTTTTCATGGCAGGCTGAAAAGACGTTTGGTCCCAAGCACACCAGCACAAATGCTCTCACCAGGCACAAGACCCACTCGGAGTCATACAACAACCTGGTTGCCACATCAAAAGTGGGCTCTGATGTTTTTGAACTCCTCTCTCCATCTGAAAAGAGCCACCAAAATGGGAAAGGACTCCAAGAAAGTAAAATTCCAGTTGATCCCGGCCAATGTCCAGGACTCAGGCCAGCACTGTGCATCCCAGAGGCCCTTGAAGCATCTGCAAAGCTTGGCTGAAGATGTACAAAATTCAGTCAGTTTATGCAGATTCCCCAAGGCCGGTTGGAGATTCAGTGTATTGACGGGTTAATGTGACAACACCCCCTCCCAAGAAAATCCAGCTCTCTATGCCTATAAAGAAATAATTTAAGACCTTCTGATGGAAAGGGGGCAGGAGTCCTGATGGCACACAGTTTATCCATTTGTACCCCACATCCCCACCCCACAGCCTCGTACCTGCCGAAAAACTGCAATTTCGTAACATATATATCTCAAAACTGACAAACCAGAATTATATTTGCATGGTAAAAGAAAAGTTGAGACATTGCATAGCTTAGTGGCAGATGCTGGATTATACAGGCATGCCGAAACAAGCCTGGCAGAAAGACAAAAACTATTGATTCTCAGCAAAGGAGATGCAGGCGTGAAAGGTATGGAGCCTCTCTCTGTTCATGGCTTACTTCTCTCACCTGTCTTTGTCTTCCAGGAGAATGACCCTGCCACCTGGCCAGATTCTGACACTGGAAGTGAGCCTGGCTAAGAGAAAATGATGCAGGGAGGCAATTGGTGCGCTCAGAGAGATGCAGTTTCTTCCCCCTTCACTCTTTTATGCTGTGTCCACACTAGGGCATTCATGCGTACATTGGGCTGCTGTTTCTGCGTGTACAATTGCGTATCTTTGTCCACACACAAGTGCTTTCACTTTTATGCCTTTATTGCTTGATGGGCTATACAGTGGACCCTCGGGTTACATGACCGTTGCGTAACGTAACCTTCGGGTTGCGAACGCGGCAAACCCAGAAGGGTATTCTTTCATCACGTGTGAATGCGCAGAAGCGCTCTATCATGCCATGCACATGCTCAGAAGCGGCGCGTCTACTTGCGGATTTTTCGGGGTACGTACGGACCCCTGGAACGAATTACATTTGTATCCAGAGGGTCCACTGTATTCGCAAGAAGAAGAAGGTGATTCGCAGTTAGTACAGTTGCCATATTTCAAAAAGTGAAAATCCGGACACAAAAGTTTGGCCAAGAGCTTTTTAAAGCAATTTACAACCCAGACATTATACTGCTTCTAACTGCAGTATTCCCGTTATGTCTGGGAAATTCCAGACATATGGCAACCCTAGCAATTTGGGATCATCCACATTTTCCTGGCCACTTTCCCCCTGGAGTGGTTAAGCGCTCAATTGGAACAAACAGTAATCGGGTTTTTGCAAACAGGGCAAGTGGAAAACCTCTCAGACCCGTGCTTTCTAGACATGGGAGAAGTGAAGTGTGAACAAGCCTACATCCTTTCTATATAGTTGGGAAAAGTCCAGATTTAAACACCCACATCTCTGCTATTGTGATATGAAAATAAGGTAAAGGTAAAGGGACCCCTGACCATTAGGTCCAGTCATGGCCGACTCTGGGGTTGCGGCGCTCATCTTGCTTTATTGGCCAAGGGAGCCGGCGTACAGCTTCCGGGTCTTGTGGCCAGCATGACTAAACTGCTTCTGGCGAACCAGAGCAGCATTTACCTTCCCGCCAGAGCGGTACCTATTTATCTACTTGCACTGGTGTGCTTTCGAACTGCTAGGTTGACAGGAGCAGGGACCGAGCAATGGGAGCTCACCCCGTTGCGGGGATTCGAACCGCCGACCTTCTGATCGGCAAATTCTAGGCTCTGTGGTTTAACCCACAGCACCACCCGCGTCCCTTGTGATATGAAAATACTGGGGGGCAAATCAGATGGGAGGAGAAATGGTTCGTCTCAGAAGAGAAGGGAAAGCAGCTGTTGCAGATGAAAGCTGAAGCCAGAAAGCAGAGCCGGGGCTTGTGGAATGGATGCCGTCTCAGGCGGGGATGAAAGGGTGGCGATGGCTGCGTAGCGCTGGAATCAAAGCCGAGAGGAAGGCACGGGAGGTTGAAGCAAAGCTCCCTGTGGGCTCCAGCTGGAGGATCCACCAGAGCGATGTGCAGGAAGGTTCCCTTGGAGAGACTTCCAGGGCTGTCCTGGGAGAGGAGAGTTTCCACTACGGAGATGCACCAGCTTTGCATTTTCGGACGCGAAGGGAAGCGGGCTAGGTCTCGTCCCCATTCTCAGCCCTGTCCACCCACACTGGCCCCGAGAGGGGCTTCTGCTGTGCATTGGACGGTTTCCCTGCATATCCCAGCATCTGACCGACGGCACGGAGGAGCTGGTCGTGGTCCCTCTCCATCCCAGACAGGCGGCGCTCCTGCAAAGGGGACATTGGAGAAAGAGTTGGCTTGTGTGTCTTTCTCGCCCTGATCTGGCCACGGTGATCCATGCGACGGTCACCTCCAGGCTTGATTATTGTAACTCACTCTACACGGGGCTGCCATTGAAGCTGACCCAGAAACTCCAGCGGGTGCAGAATGCCGCGTCGAGGCTCCTCACGGGGTCCTTGCCGTGGGATCACATTCATCCAGTGCTTTATCAACTGCACTGGCTCCCGGTGGAGTACAGGGTCAGGTTTAAGGTGCCGTTTTTGACCTTTAAAGCCCTCATGCGGCCTAGGACCCACGTACCTACGGGACTGCCTCTCCTGGTATGCCCCGCGGAGGACCTTAAGGTCCACAAATGACAACATTTTGGAGGTCCCAGGTCGCAAGGTGGTTAGATTGGTCTCAACTAGGGCCAGGGCCTTTTCAGTACTGGCCCTGACGTGGTGGAACGCTGTCACAAGAGATTAGGGCCCTGCAGGACTTGATATCTTTCCGCAGGGCCTGCAAGATAGAGCTGTTCCACCTGGCCTTTGGTTTGGACTCAGTCTGACCCTTATGTTTCCCTCCCCCTATGATTTTGATCTATGGACTACTGTTAAACTGAGGCTGCATTTTAAATTATATTTTAGCCTGTATTTTAAATTGGTTTATTTAATTTATTTATTTATTTGTAATTTTACTAGTGTTAGCTGCCCTGAGCCCAGCTCTGGCCCGGGAGGGCGAGGTATAAATAAAATTTTATTATTATTTATTATTATTAAGCCCCAGCACCTCTCACTGTACAAATCAAGCAGTGGGCAAGCAGGGGCCACCGAACCCCCAGTGAATCAATTGTCTAACTTCAGCATATCTATGTGCAGTAAAACAATCAGGTGGGCGTTTTGCAGATGGTCCAGCGACTCACATCTTACTGCAATGAAATGGGCATGTGTGCTGAAATATCCCTTTGGAGTGTGCCTCCTAAAAGAGATACGGATGCTTCTACTCTTCCTGAGCCTTTTTTTAAAAAGAAAATTATTAAAGATTTCTTAGTTTACAAAAATACATGCACTATCTCTTTTTTCAAGTTGTGTTTTCTACAGATCAGTTTCATTTGTTGTGAGACATTAGTGTTGCATGCAGTGTTAGGTTAGGAAGAAAAGAGGGGGGAACGGTGAGTGGGGTGGGGTGGGGTGGCAATGCTTCTCTTCTTCTGTGGGGTTTTGTGTCAGCGTCACTTGTGTGGGTTCTCTTACTGTTCGCTTGTTGTATTTCCTTGGTGGTGAGAGAGGTTGGGGGTGGCCTAGGGTGTGGTTGGTTGTCTCTGGTTGGCTGTAGTGAAATTTGTTTTTGTGTGAGAGTGTGTGTGTTTGGATCAGGTTAGCCAGATTGATTCATATGCTGTCGGCGGATTCTTGTTATTGCCTTGTTGGGCTGTGTATGTGATAAAGGGGACCCATACTTCTTCTATTCTTCTATTTGTCCCCATTTCAGTTTCAATAAATTTGATAAATGCAATTGTAATTTTTTTATACTCTGAAGCGTTTCTTCATTTTTTGGATTTTTTACCAATTCTTTTTCTTTTATTTGTTTATTTATTTCCATCATATTATTATCCTTATTTTTCTTAATTCTCCCCATTTGCTGTATTCCGTACCCTCTCATAAACGCTTTACTCGCATCCCAAATTATTTTCCTATCTGTATCTTGGTTCTCATTTAATTCAAAAAATTCTTTCAAGATTTCTTTCGCTTTACTTACTCTTCGTTCATCTCTCCACACCTCATCATTCATTCTCCACCTACCTTTGGTACGTCTTTTGAATTTCATGTAGATTGCCACAGGATTGTGATCTGATATAGATCTATTTAATATTTCCGCTTTATCGAGATTCAACATCAATTTTTTAGATACCCAAATTGCATCAATTCGTCCACCTGATTTATGTGCTTCAGAGTAATGTGTTATATCCTTTACCCTGGAGTTTTTTGTTCTCTAAGCATCGTAAAGATTTAAATTTTCAATTAAATTAAAAAAGGAGAGTGGGAGTTTACCTGAATTGGATATTTTGGTTAGTTTTCCTAATAAGGCTGTTTTCCCACACTATTTGATACCATTGGTCCATGTTCATTCCTGATAGTTCTCTCCAATGTCTGGCTATGATGTTTCTGGCTGCCGACAGTAGGTGGGTTATGAGCTCTTTATGATGTGAGTGGGCATTATTATCTTGGAAGATGTTTAGTTCCTGAGCCTTTGTTGAGCAATTCCCCTGAGTGGCTCCCCATTTTCTCCTGCGCCTGCCCCTTGACCACCGGGTTGAATGGCTACAGAGAGCCCTTACCAGATTCTTGGTCTTCTCCTCACTAGCTCGAAGCTTCTCGTGATCCTTCTTCCAGCTGGTCTCTACACTAGTCACCCTGCAACAGAAGAGGATCCAGTATAATCTAGCGAACTCAAGCTGCGAGACCTGGTTTCAACCTCCTCAGTCCCTACCATAGGTACACTGGCTGGCTTTGGACAAGTCACTGTCTCTCAGCCCAAGGCCTACAAGACCTCACAAGGCTGACAAAGGACAGAGATGCAAAACTCTTCTCACACTGGATACACCAAACCACTGGGGAACGTTTTTTACTCTACTTCCTCATCGGACTTGGAACTTCAAAGAACCTTATAAGGAGCTGCTAAAATGAAGATTTCCACCACCCCTTCATTTTGGCAGGGGATTCTAATGCAAAACCCATTCTTTAAACCTTGTTCAAAAGCAGATGAAAAATCCTTCATTTTAGCAGTGGATCTGATGTGGTTTGCATGGAATCCTGCCGACCTGAGCAGGATTTAACTCATCAGCTGACCTTCTTTCAACCAAGTCACTTGGCACAAGTGGTTTGTGTCCTAGCAACTACCTACTGGACTCCCAAGATTCAAGGCAGCTGCCCTTGGTCAGCTTGGTTCTGGCTCCAGAAAATGTCCTCTTCGTATTGCTTCCTAGCAGGGGACTTGGGCCAAGACAGTGCCTCATGAAGTGAGGACATTAATAGACAAGACAATAAACTGCTTTTATATGCAACAACAGCAGCAAGAGTATTGTTGGCACAGAAATGGAAACCAGAAGAACTACCGACAAAAGAAGAATGGCAAACGAAATTAATGGACTATGCAGAACTGGATAAGATGACAGGAAGGATTAAAAAGCTGCAGGATCAGAGCTTCTCAGAGGACTGGGGTAAATAGTATATAAATTGTTTGAAAAGCAATTGTAAGCAACAGATTAAACTAGTAGGATTGCAAGAAGCTTTGTAAGGAGGACTATGTGAAATATTGCAGAGAAAACTATGATAAGAATTATTAGTGAAGGAGTATTAAATGTAATACTGAAAATAATGAAATGCAGATTAAGAAAATCTTCAGATGTAGTTAATGGAAGTCCAAAACATTGTATAAGATAAGAAAGCATGTTATATGATTTTTGGAAATTATTTGTAAAAATCAATAAAAATGTTTTTTTTAAAAAAAGACAGTGCCTCGTGACAAGGCCCTCAAATCAGGGACAGACTGAAAAGCTTCCAGGAGCCAAGGCACCAGAGCTAAGGTGACCATGCAGGTCTTTAGAAGATCTCGTGGATCCCTCACCTGGTGCTTAGCTGCACAAGGCAGCTCTCGGTCTCCTCCAGCCTCTTGCAGAGAGCCTCTTCCCGCTCCTGGAACTTGGCCTGCTCCTCTAGCAGCATTTGGTTCTGGGTCGTCAGTCTTTCCAGCTGCTCTTCGAAGAGTTGCTGCTTCTCCCTCGCTGTGGTCAGCTCCATCTGTAGCTCTTCCATCTGCTTCCCATACTGTGGGGGTAAACAAGGGTAGTGGTTAGAGCAGCCAGGGGCTTGAAGCAGTGGAACCTCTCTCTCCTGGGTGGCCTTGGACAGGGTCAATGGGGCAGAAGCAAGGTCATAGCCATGGCAAGGGGCCCAGAGGCAGGAATCCTGCCGCTAGGGCATCGGGCTTATTCACACCTAACTTTTGCCCCACTCTTTCCAGTCAGAGGTCCGCACTTAAAAGCTCTGTGTCCTAGCATGGTGTTTTTGTTTTGTTTTCTGCCCAGAGTTTCGCCTGTGAAAACCTACTCTTTAGCACTCAATCGTAGCAAAAGTCAATGTGGATTTTCTGCAGGTGGCTGTTTGCTCCGACTGAGCTTTAAAGAGTGGGTTTTCATGGAGAAAGCTCTAGGGCAAAAACACACGCACCCTGACAAAGACCTTTTAAACACGGACCGTGCCTAGATAGAGCTGGGGTAAGTGTGGATAAGCCCTGAGAGATGAGTCCTGGGTTCAAATCTTGCCTGGGCCATTAGCCTGTTAGGAGGCATTCCCAGTCCTCCACCATCACTTTTTATAGCCTAGGGATGACATTAACAGGCCTGCTTCCTAACTCTAAACATTACAGAAGCATCTGAAGGTCCTGAATCTTCCCGCTATCCCATTCGCCTTCTCAAGTCTGTAAAATGTTGGGATGCCAAGCGTGAAACAGGGTTACGGTTTTCGTTCTGTGGCGGAAGGGGACTCTACCGTAGGTAGCTAAGTGTACTGGAACAAAAGACTGCCTCCAGGTGACATAATTCATCCCTTTCTAGACATAGCAGTGCAGGGTGGAAGCCCCCTCTAAACTAGCCAAACATCATTGCCCAGAACAACATTTTTTTGAGAAATCACAACTAACTCAAGTCAATAGTGGACTGCCGCTCTGGTCCCAGAATACAAAGTGCTACTAGCACATGCACTCAGGAGTGGGGGTGTCTGGGTCTGATATTCTGAGTGGAAGTGATTCTCCCACCTGTTCCAGTGGCTGCATGGCATAGAGGCTACTTTGCTGGGCAGCTGCTTCTTCAGAGTGCCTCAGCCAAGGCACAGTGGGCTTCCGGGGCAGTGAGGCAGATGGGTGGAGCTTCGGATACCCCTAGAACACAATCAACATTATTGTTACTATGCAATGATTTTTATTAAGTTTTCTGTTTTACAATTTCAAATAAACATTTTACAAACTTTAAGATATCCAGTGACTTCCCTTCCTCTCTTTCCGTGGTTCATTTTACCTGCATATTTTACTAGGTAAAGGACCCCTGGATGGTTAAGTCCAGTCCAAGGCGACTATGGGGTTGCGGCGCTCATCTTGCTTCAGGCCGAGGGAGTCAGTGTTTGTCCACAGACAGCTTTCTGTCTGTGGCCAGCAGGACTAAGCCGCTACTAGCACAACAGAACACTGGGACGGAAACCAGAGCGTATGAAAACGCTGTTTACCTTCCTGCTGCAGTGGTACCTATTTATCTACTTGCACTGGTGTGCTTTTGAACTGCTAGGTTGGCAGGAGCTGGGACAGAGCAATGGGAGCTCACCCTGGGATTTGAACTATTGCAGTGGGATTCCTGGGTAAACAAATTAGGGAAGTGACATGGAAGACAAGGGTGCTGTCCTGTGTCAAGAAGAAAGGCCCACCCTTCATCACCCAGACCCTATTCACTCTCCAAACATGACTCCTCTAAAGATGACATCCATCTGTCATGGACGCTTTAGTTGAGATTCCTGCATTGCAGGGGGTTAGACTAGATGACCCTGGGGTCCCATCCGACTCTAAGATCCTATGATTCTATGACAGTGAATGACCCCCATGATGGTGCCTATTCTGCACTCCCAGTGGGCCTTACAGATTCTGGTCCTTTACGCCTTTCCAGGGAACCTGTGTGGAGCTGCAGGCAGTTGTGGGCCACCAGTAGTCAAGAGGGCCAGTCTAGAGCCCTGATTACCTGGGATGCTTTGCTGGCGCCATGCGGGTAGGAGGTACAAAGTCGAGGGCTGCTCTCCCTGCTCTCGGCCACGTGCTCGGTGCTCCTCTGCTTCTGGAGACGTCGGGCTGCCTTGTTCTGAGTCGGGACGCTCTGGGTGCGCTGCACTTTGGTCCTGGTTCTGACTGGGTGCAAAGGGGCCAGCGGCTCTTCCTTCCCTCGGCCTTTCTGAATGCTGGTCATGGACTGGCTCTTGATCAGAGGACTGTGCTTGCCCAGCTCCCGTGGGGGCACAAAACCCGGCTTCTGGTTTTCCGCCTGTCTGGAACACAAGAAGAGAAGAAGAGTTTGGATTGGATATCCCGCTTTATCACTACCCGAAGGAGTCTCAAAGCGGCTCACATTCTCCTTTCCCTTCCTCCCCCACAACAAACACTCTGTGAGGTGAGTGGGGCTGAGAGACTTCAGAGAAGTGTGACTAGCCCAAGGTCACCCAGCAGCTGCATGGAGGAACGGGGAAGTGAACCCTGTTCACCAGATTACGAGTCTACTGCTCTTAACCACTACACCACACTGGCTGGAAGGGTGGGAGTGCAGCGTGACTATAATGCAACAGGCAGCACTTGAACTTGTCAAACCCAGAGCCAGAGAGAGAGAGAGAGAGAGAGAGAGAGAGATGAGCCCTGGCTGTCATTCTTTACTGAACATGTGGTCTAAACACTGAGCCTCTTGGGCTTGCCGATCGGAAGGTCGGTGGTTCAAATCCCTGCGACGTGGTGAGCTCCCGTTGCTCTGTCCCTGCTTCCTGCCAACCTAGCAGTTTGAAAGCACATCAGTGCAAGTAGATAAATAGGTACCGCTGCAGCGGGAAGGTAAACAGCGTTTCTGTGCGCTCTAGCTTCTGTCACAGTGTCCCGTTGCACCAGAAGCGGTTTAGTCATGCTGGGCACATGACCTGGAAAGCTGTCTGTGGACAAACGCCGGCTCCCTCAGCCTGAAAGCGAGATAAGCGCCGCAACCCCATAGTCGCCTTTGACTGGACCTAACCATCCAGGGGTTCTTTACCTTTTACCTTTTTTTTTTTTACTGTGTGTGAGTAGAGCTGGGGGGCACATAGCAGGGATGGTCTTATTTCATGTAAAAATAGCAAAACTGAAATATATGCATTTTTATAAAATGGCATAAAGCACTCAAGTTTCTTTGATTTTAATCTGATATTTGAACATGCAAAACATGGAGAATCATTTCAGGCAAGGAGGTACGTGGGTGCCAGGAATTGGGGCTGAAGTAAACAAGGGCCTGTGAGGCCTTCTGAAAATTCCAGGAAATCACCTAGTCTCTATCCAAGATGTAGGACCATAATAATAATTATTTATTATTTATATCTGACCCATCTGCCTGGGTTTCCCCAGCCACTCTGGGCAGCTCCCAACAGAATATTCAAAACACGATAAAACACCAAACATTAAAAACTTCCCTAAACAGTGCTGCCTTCAAATGTCTTCTAAAAGTAAAATAGTTGTTTATTTCCTTGATGTTTGAAGGGAGGGCGTTCCACAGCGTGGGCGCCGCCACCAAGAAGGCCCTCTGTCTGGTTCCCTGTAACCTCACTTCTCACAGTAAGGGAACCGCCAGAAGGCCCTTGGTACTGGACCTCAGTGTCTAGGCTGAACGATGAGGGTGGAGACACTCCTTCAGGTATACTGGGCCAAGGCCATTTAGGGCTTTAAAGGTCAGCACCAACACTTTGAATTGTTGTAGGAGATAAATGAGACGTGGATGTGCATCATTTTGCACTTGGTACAGTGGTGGCGTTTACTGCTTTCTGTTTACTACTGCCCATCATCCGGGAACCGACCATCATCACCAACCAACCCCTCACACCCAAACCGAAAGAAAGAAACTCCATGGCAGGACACAAGCCAATCCCATCTGGGGGAAATGCCTTTCCAGCACTAAATGTGGTGGCCATTTCAACCCTAAAGGTAAAGATAAAGGGACCCCTGACCATTAGGTCCAGTCATGGCCGACTCTGCGGTTGCGGCGCTCATCTCGCTTTATTGGCCGAGGGAGCCGGCGTTTGTCCGCAGACAGCTTCTGGGTCATGTGGCCAGCATGACTAAGCCGCTTCTGGCGAACCAGAGCAGCGCACGGAAACACTGTTTACCTTCCTGCCAGAGTGGTACCTATTCATCTACTTGCACTTGACGTGCTTTCGAACTGCTAGGTTGGCAGGTGCTGGGACCGAGCAACGGGAGCTCACCCCGTTGCGGGGATTCAAAGCGCTGACCTTCTGACAAATCCTAGGCTCTGTGGTTTAACCCACAGCGCCACCCGTGTCCCTATTTCAACCCTGAACATGGTCAAAATCTTTCCCCTGGATTTCCCTGAAAGCTGGTTTTCTTTTTGAGCCTTGAGAGCCAGCAACCATTGCTGCGATTTCAGTGTATCCCTCCCTGCCAGCCACCCCAAGAGCCAAAGGCAAGTCGTTTGTTACCTGTCCTCTGCACTGGGCCCAAGTCGAACGATGACAGGAACCGGTGTCCCCTCTTGTATAGCACGGAGGATTGTGGGCAGAGGCTCCAGTCTGTCTTTTGTCCGCTTATATGCAACAGAGCAAAAAGTACAGGTAAGAAGAACGCAGTCAGAGGGCTTGCAAAAATGAGAAACCACTGCTACTGGTGTGGCACGATTGATCGAAGGATTTGCTCTCCTTCTGACAAAGGGGAGCAGAGGATCACACTCACACCTGGATCAGACCCTAAAATTCACATGTATGCATTTGTTAAAATATACACAAACACCTTATTTTAACTCCACACCTACCCCTTGCAATCCTGCCTGAATGAGCAAATATATTTGAAGAATAAATGGTGAATTTCAAAATTCAGAAACAAATACCCTTCACACATCCCATCACAAAAACTGCTCCCTCTCTCGTGTCTTCAAATCACTTCCTTTTCTTCCTGACTGCAATGTCACCGAGTTCCTCTCTTCCAGATTTAACACTTAATTTGCGAATGGGTCACTGAGATATTGCAGACTGATAGCTGGCTAGCAGGGATTTGTGGTTATTATTTATTGGATTTTTCGCAGAAAATGAAAATTTTGGATTAGACAGTGAGAAAATGCGGGCTGACCTTTTGGTGCCAAGAATGTCATGGAGTTACTGCAAAAAATAAAAAAGCTTCCCTACATCAGGAGCACCCATCCCATAATAAACACCCGCCTGTAAGCAGCCCATAACAATATTAGCCAAACTGATGGCACCTTTATGTAAAATAGCTGGTATAAGCCACCGATGAGCTGCAGGAGGGAGGGGGATATACAGCGGGACTGAGGAACATGGATGACAGGCGTTGACAGATGCAAAGTCCCTGATGGGTTGGCTCCAATTGTTGGCTCCTCCTAGGCCCCGCTACCCATGAGCAGGCCCAGTCAATGCATCTTGCCACCAGGGGGCAGGCCAAGCCCATCCAAGTGGAGGTGCCACACAAGACAGGCAGCTGGTACCTCTTCCAGGGTAGAAAAGATGTTGCAGAGCAGGGAATGCAGGATGGACAATTCCAGGGCCAGGTCAATGGAGTCGTCATACGCTGGCAAGTGGATGGCACTGCCAGGGCTGGAGACGCTGCAGAGGAATGACTTCATGGTGCCCCAGTTGCGCTCCAGAAACTCATTCATGAAGCTCATGTACGCCTCCTTTTCTCCAAACCTGCAGAAAATGGAATATTAATATTAATAACAATAACAATAACAATAATTTATTTATTTATACTCCCCCCATCTGGCTGGGTTTCCCCAGCCATTCTGGGCAGCTTCCAACCGAATATTAAAAACAATACAGCATCAGACATTAAAAACTTCCCTAAACAGGGCCGCCTTCAGGTTACATACGTTTCAGGTTACAGACTCCACTAACCCAGAAATAGTACCTCGGGTTAAGAACTTTGCTTCAGGATGAGAACAGAAATCGTGCACCAGCTGTGCGGCGGCAGAGGGAGGCCCCATTAGCTAAAGTGGTGCTTCAGGTAAAGAACAGTTTCAGGTTAAGAACGGACCTCCAGAACGAATTAAGTTCTTAACCCAAGGTACCACTGTAATTAATTTCTTATTATATTGAACGATTAAACAACCTACTTGTTTGTGCTCATTTCAGATTCTTTTTAAAACTGCCAACCGAAAATGCCGTTTTAAGCTAAGTTGATAAACCTCTGAAAGAAAGCACAATTACCCTTCCTTGCTGTGAATTCTTCACATGCAAAGAAACCCATGCACTGATACCAATGCCCTGAGTGCAAATCCTGACGTTTTTTCTTTTTTTGAGGACTTGCCTGGAGGAGTATTCCAAGCCATTCTCAAGCCTCATACTGAATCACCCTTGCTGGGCACAGCCAGGGCCACAGTTACCTACGTGGTAAAGTTTGCCAGGTTCTGGATAACCTTAGCTGCCAGAGTCAGGGTGCGGGAGGTGGTGTCATCCGGGTACTCTTGAGTGAGGCCGAAGAGGCTGGGCGACATGATGGCCGGGCAGAGGAAGCGCAAGAACAAGGAGGCAGAGATGAGGCGCTGCCCGATGCTGGCTTTGCCCCTTAGCTGGCATGCCTCCTGCCAGGCAGTGAAGACCTCACTGAGCTCAGCTGGGAAGGAGCTGCAGACAGAAAAGAAGGAGTTGGCTGGCTGTGAGAAGGCCTGAGGGCAGACATTTTGTGATGAAGGGGCCGCACAGAACACCTGGATAGGATAGGGAATCGCTACAGAACAAGCCAAAACCGACTAAGACATCTGAAGCTATGATATTCATAAAATAACACCCCGTTTCATAAAATTATCAGTTTCTGCTTGACAGCGATGCCAGCGTTTTTTGCACACAATGACAAAGTCAGGCATTATTGCCGCTTATTGGACAATGCAGTATGATACTGCTCCGTCGTTTTTTCCTCATACTTTACAGCCGCTTAAAGTGGAAGTTGGACATTTGGGGAAAGATCCAGGAATATCCCTCAGCTGAAACTCCCCGCTCTCCCCACAATGGCTGCCGTTCTAGCGGAGTGACACAGAGCTGAGTTGGACAGAAGCACATCCTGAAGGTGAACAATAACAGACCCAAGGAAGGTCTCTTGACTAGTTCACATTGTTACCTGAGCCAAAGTAATGATTTGCCAATGGCTGGCTCAGTGACTGGCCTCAGAAACTCTGAGGACTCCTCCTGTCAATCTGCTTATTCTGCAATCATCCTGATTTGCTTAAACAGCAGTTAGATTATGGGCCTCTCTGGATATCCTTGTTTCTGGACATTCATTAAAATATCAGGGCAGTTACAGTATAAGCAATCCCACTTCCAATGCTGTTTGTGCCCACAGAGGTTTCAGGACAGATGTACTGCTTCAATTCCAAGCAGTGAATGACCTATAGCTTCTTGTTCAAATCCCACAAATGTTCTGGGGATTCTTGTCGTCCCACTTTTCCTGTACTATATAGCGCAAGAGAGCCCACCTAGACATGCATAATGTGGAAACATTGGGGAGGAATTAGAGAACTAATAAATTTATTTATTATAAATATAAATTTATTTATTATAAATATATCACTGACAATGACATATTGCAGGATACACCTGCCTCGAGAGGCCCACAGTCCATACTTGATTGAATGTTTCTTCTGATTTGCTTATAGGGTGCTTACAGTATATGACAATGAGCATTCATCCTGATTTCCTTGCAGTCTTCCTGTTAATCTTCTTTAAATATAATTTTTCTTAAATTTTCTGTTTTACCATTTCAAATACTCATTTTACATCCTTAAGATCTCAGTGACTTCCCTTCTTCTCTTTCCACAGTTCATTTTACATATCTTAAATCCCTGCAATTTTTGCAAAAACTATACCAATCAGTTTTCCATTATTGCATCCATCGGAACTTATTGACACTGTTGAATTTATCTTAATGCTGCCAGCGTTTTCAGCTGTACACAATTATTTCCCATATATTCACTAAATGTTTTCCAATCTTCTCTAAACGTATGTTCTTCTTGTTCTCTTATTCTATGTGTTAAGTCTGCATGTTGTGCATATTCTGTCAGCTTAAGTTGCCACTCTTCTTTGGTTGGGACCTGGCTCATTTTCCATTTTTGGGCTAACAAAACATGGGCCGCAGCTGTTGCATATGTAAAAATATTCCTGTTAATCTTCATCCCACACTTCTCAGGGCATTTCTATGTCACTTTCCTAATTGCAAAAAGGCTACAGGTTTGTTTTGGGGTTTTTTAATGGATTTGTTGCCCAGGGGTAATGGAGCACGCCACTTCAATTGCACTAACCTAAATAGTGCAATCCACTCTGCTAGAAATCCTTTCTCTTGTCCTCAGATATGAGAGTTGCTTGTCTTATCCTGCATAGAATCAAAGGCACTCTTTTCATTATGACTAAGGTCGCTTCCAAGCAGCCTGTTTAATGAGCATTCAGCCCAATTTGTTTACAGAGATTAGACAACCTTGGCTATCTACTGAGCAATCATCTTGATAAGACAAATCTGCATCAAGCAGCTGCCATTTCACCCTTTCCTTATCGCAATTTTTTTAAAAAAAAAAATCCAATCTTTGGGGGAAGTGGGTTTGTTTCACAAGAGCTCCAAATCAGCATGAACTGTGCAGCCTGAACTTCCTGGGACTTGACTGAATCCCACCCCAAAACAGTGACACTCTGGTAGCGCTTGCTGAGCCCCGACATCTCGGGGAGCCCCTCCTCAAACTGAATGCCCTGCCTGTGGAATGTGAAACACAAGAGCAGTCAAGTACAACATTCCTAGAGTGAACATGTTTACACATGGGGAGGAATGTTTGTCCAGCCAGCAGGTAAACTTCCTGTTTCCTTCTGGGCTGGGACAGACTTCCTCTGCATGTGACTAGAGGTGGGCGTGGCCTCACCTGTGCAGGTAACAAAAGCATAGGACTGGCCGCCATCTCTCCATCTCTATGACTACTTTCGTCGAAGAAGCAACATCTGCTTAGCCAAAGATGTTCTCTTGTTCTCCAGCCAAGAGAGGACAAAGGGACTGTCTCCTTATGAGGTAGTTTCCAGGTGTATGTTGCTTTTCTAAGCTAAGTCTGCCTTCTGGGATCCGATTCTGAACAGAATGTGAGTGAGTAAACTCTTTTTATACTTTTATAGAAGACTGTGGCATGTCTTATCTTTTATGAGGCAATAAAGGGGGGGGGGGGAAATACCAGGACAGTTATTATAGAGGCTTTAGCGAGCCTGAGCAAACGCATCCGCTGTGAGTTTAAAAAGGGGAAGGTTACTCTGCTAAATTGTGAACTTGTTTACACAAGTTGGAAAGGTTATAATCAAACAATATATCCTCTCCTGCATCCCTGAACATTCCCACACTGCTGTTTCCCATTCATTTGGGCCAGAGTGCTGCCTGGCTGAGGGGGCCGTAAGAGGGATCCTGGACTGCAACTTTCTGGCTCGATACTCTGTGAATGAGAGGCATAGTGGCGGGCACAGAAAACCACAAATGGTGCCCCTGGCTTCACTTCTGCAGGCCCAGTGGGGAGAGCGTCTGCCCCCCTCCACCCGCCAATGACCCACTCAAGCACTCACTGGCTAGAAACAGCAATCCTCCGGAAGATCTCTTCACAGATGTGCTGCAGGTTGCTGCGGTTGTCAGCCAGGTCACACGGCGCACATTTGCTGGGATCCACTTCACAGCTGTCCTCTAAAGTGTATGGCTGGGCGACTATATCACCTGCAACACAGCCTCATGCTTTAATTTCAGCCAGGCTACAGTGTTGGCTAGAGTTACAACAGGGATACCTTGGACTACAACATGACCCACAATGAAGACCAGACTCAGGGCCGGATTGAGGTTTGATGAGGCCCTAAGCAACTGAAGGTAAAGGTAAAGGTAAAGGGACCCCTGACCATTAGGTCCAGTCGCGGACGACTCTGGGGTTGCGGTGCTCATCTCGCTTTATTGGCCGAGGGAGCTGGCGTACAGCTTCCGGGTCATGTGGCCAGCATGACTAAGCCGCTTCTGGCGAACCAGAGCAGCGCACGGAAACGCCGTTTACCTTTCCACCAGAGCGGTACCTATTTATCTACTTGCACTTTGATGTGCTTTCGAACTGCTAGGTTGGTGTAATGGGGCCCTTTATATATCCAGCTGTCCTTTGTCAACAACAAATTACCTCTGTTTTTTTGTGTTGAACATATGCTATATGATAATTTATAGACCTAATAGGTATCTAAAGCCATTTGCACATGTTGCCATGCAGAATGTAGGCACCCTATATATAGAAATGAGTGAACCAGTGGTATTTTAGGGAGCAGGCTAGCAGGCGGGGCCCATGACTTACATCATAGGAGCCTACACAACACAGAACACTGTTGCTGTATGTAGGTTTTGTTTTATTTGTTTTTTATCTTGTATTTTGGAAATGTACATCCAGTTTTTTCCTTTAATGTTTTTTGCCCCCCCCCCATAGAGTGGGACCCTAAGCTATAGCTTGTTTAGCTTACACATAAATCCGGCACTGACCAGACTACTTGAGCGTTCCCAGCTAATACTGCCATGAAGGGTCATTTTGCATAGACCTGAGGTCAAAATGACTTCTTCTTATTTCAATGTTATATACCACCCTTTATCAAAAGATCTCAAGGCGGTGCATGACATTAGAAACACTTTACAAAACATCAATAATAACTTAGTAAAGAAAGCATACTGACCGACAGCCTACTAAAAAAATAATCATCATAATAACTATCCTCTCGCCCACACTTTTACAGGCCATAGAGAGTTGCAAGCTGTACTTTTTGCATTCTGTTGCCACTTCTTTTCTTTTTTTAAATTTATTTATTTGGTTTTTCAAATTAACATTTTACGCTCACATATCCAACATACATCATAAAATCAAGATTTCAAAGACTCTCCTGGACTTCCCTCCTCCCCTTTGTGGGTCCTATTGTTAGTCATTTCCTCCTGCATTTTTTATAATAATTCAAATCTTTTACATCTCCATTATATCCAAAATTCACCATTAAACTACGTGTTATTCCAAGGCTACTAACAATTTTAACTGTTTACAATTACTTTTAATTATAAATTATAAATTTTCCCCATTCCTTATTAAAATTCTGGTTTTCCTGATTTCTGATTCTTCCAGTCATTTTTGCCATTTCTGCATAATCCATCAACTTAATCTGCCAGTTTAAGTTTAACCAGAGAAGAATGACATTCTGTACCAATCCTGCAACTGAGGATAGCACTCATGCAGATGTTGAAGTGGGTTCTAGCTCACAAAATAAAATATGTTAAGTCTTTAAAGGAGCGCAATACTCTTTGTTGCTAGAGGCCCAAACTCTGGAGTTTCCTCTGGCAGCAATCAAGCAGGGAAACCTAACTAGCTCCTTCAGAAAATTCTGCACGCCCCTATCCGCCAGTTGCCAACTTACTCAGTGTGGACAGCAGGTAAGGGCCTCCCACCAGCTTCATGTATTCATCGATGGCTTTGGTGGCAAGGGTATTTTCACGGAAAATCAGTGCTTCGCGCTCATCGAAACGGTCCAGCTCTGACACACCCAAGTCAATGAGAAAGTCCTGCAACACAAGACAGGAAGGGTTAGTTGAACAAACCCTACCCTTCCTCAGAGATCTCCCATACCAACTGACTCACCCTGGAATCCTGATTCTGAACCAGGCTCCCAACCTAGTGATATCCAGGGCCCTGTGTCCATGCTGCAGCTCTGGGAAAGCGCAAAGCAGTCCAGGGTTATTCTTGCAGCAAACCTGGCCTTCCGAGAGCCACTTTAGTAACCCTGCAATACTAGAAAACCCTAGAAGGGCAGCAGGCTGGAAGGCTAGAACCAGCGGAACACAATGACAGGTGAGGGGAATCAGCTTTGAACTGGCTGTGCAGCTGTTGTATCCAAGGCCTTCCCATCTTCTACGTTGTGGGCCAGCCCCAAGACATTTTGGCACCTGAGGCAGATCCCAAAATGGCGTCCCGCTCCCTGCCAGGGAAGAAGGGATGGGTGAAGATCTACATCAGGAACATCAGAGCTTTTTTTCCCCCAGCTGGAACTCAATGGAATGCAATTCCAGAACCTCTCAGGTGGATGCCATTGCCATTCTAAGAGAATGAGGGAGGTGTTCATGGTGAGTTCCGGCACCTCTAGCGCTGAAGGTGGTCGTGGGGATAAGTCAGCCTCAATAGTACCGTTGGTTAGAGCATGGTGCTGATAATGCCAAGGGTGATGTCTAGGACTGGGCAGAGGAGTCATAGCGGAGACCACCTCCCCATCCTGACCCTCCCAGGGAGGAGGAAGAGGAAGGCAATTTAGATTTACAACAGTGGTCTGCGGGAAGTCACAGCTCAGAGGCAGATGAGGAGGAAAGTTGGGAAATAATGAGGAGGAGAAGGCAGAATCAGAGCGGCAGCTGGCTGACACATTGTCATTAGAAAGCATTCCAGACCCTCCATCTCCCAGAACACAGTGAGCCTTAAAAGTAGGAGAGCAAAGGGCACGTAGAAGAACCCGTAGAGGAGATGAGAATGTGGGAGAGACGGGGGGTGGAGATTCACTTGGGACAATGCCACTATCCAAGAGGCTGGGCTCTATGGCCTCTCTGTAAAGATTGAAATAAAAAAGGACAGTAAGAAACCTTTCCCCGTCTTTATACTTTCCTGGGCAGCCAGCCAGGAGCCGCTGACAGCATCCTGACAGGTGCAGGTTCAATCCCCGTATGGAACAGCTGCATATTCCTGCATTGCAGGAGGTTGCACTGAATGGTCCTCAGGGTCCCTTCCAGATGTAGAATGATAGGATCATAGAGCTGGAAGGAACCCTGAGGATCATCTAGTCCTAGATATCTGCTGGCCCTGTGGATCCTGCAGCCCAAGGCAGTCGCCTTGCCTAGCCTCACGGGTGGGCCGGCCCTGAACCTTTGCAAACAAAGAGATACCTTGGCTTTCCCTGTGCTTTGCAGGACGCGAACCAGCACCCCCGTCAGCTCCTCCTTGTCCCGGGCGTTAAGGCTGTGCTCCAGTCCGGCACACAGCTCCCGATAGTGGAAGGTGAGATACTCAGCAAACTCTTTGTATTGCACGATGGGCAGCACTCGGATGTTGCAGTAGCGTCCACGTAGCCGTAGGGCGGGCGTGTTGGGCCTGTCTCTGCCCAAGGGGTACCACCTTTCCAAGGGCTGGCGGACCGCAGCCAGCTCCTTCAGGGGAACGGCCATGCTGGCAACCGGGCTGCCCTTTGCCCGCTGCTGCCCGTCCTCCTCCTGCACCACGCAGACCTGCAGCTCCACTGCTGGCGGAAGAGTCTTCAGGTCAAAGTGCTCCCCCCAGAAGATGGTTCCAGTGGGGCTGGCTGCCTTGGTTGTGGTGCGAGCGTAGAGGACCCCATCCAGTCGCACCTCGCCGAGGTAGCGCTTCCTGGGAACAAGGTCGCGGGCTTCGTACACCCAGAGGCTCAGCATGCGTTCGATCCGCTCGCAGTTGTCCTGGGGAATTGAGCCAGCGGTTTGGTTAAGGAACACCGAGACATGGAGCAAGGCAAGCAGATGCAGCCGGAAATCTGTCACTCGAGAGGCAGACTGAACGCAGGATGAAGGGAAAGCAAGAGGCAAGTGGGATGAGGTTGAAGGCGGAAGGTGGGTCAAGGTGGAATAATGGAATTGTAGACTTGGAAGGGACCCCGAGGGTCATCTAGTTCAACAATGGAGGCAGAATATATGTTTCATTCTCAAAGTTAAATTTAATTTGCTTGATTTTGTTATTGGGGGTTGGGAGGAAGGAACCTGAATTTGCATCCAATGAAAAAAACGCCTTGTGCAATGACTTTGAATGCACTTGTCCACTGTGGATTTTAACTATGTGCTATGCAATGTATATAGCTCAGAGATGAACCCGCATTGATAAATGAACTAAAAGAGTAGTGACTTAGTTCATTTTTTTAATTAAAAAAGCTGGAAGGGAAACAAAAAACAATGGAAGCAGAATCCAGCAGAGACAAGGCCAAAAGACGGGAGGAATTCAGGGCCTGTGTTTGCTTCTAAGTACAGCAGTGCTAACTCTTCTATGAGACCGTGGAATGGTCAGGCCACAACTTCTGCCCCAGAGGAGAGGGGTGGACAAGTGCAGAGAACAGGACAGATGTCAGGGGCTGGACTGAAGATGAATGGTGGGGACCACCCCCCCTTTCTTCTGAACCTTCCCGAGGAGGACAGTATAGATTTAGATCAGTGGTTTGCAGAAGGGCAGAGTTCAGAGGCTGCAGAGGGGAGAAGCTGGGAAATATTGGAAGAGGAACAGCAGGAAGAAGAAGAAGCACCAGGGGAGAGACAGCTGACAGAGTCCAGTGTCCTTGGAGAGCATTCCTGACTGCATCCCCCGGCGGACCAGGCATTGAAGGTATTAGAACAGAGAGCTCAGAGGCAGAAAGCTCAGATTAACCGACGCAGGACTGACATAGATTAGGGGAGACGAAGTAGGGGTGGGACTTTACAAGCAGCACAAAGTACAGAAGATGCTTCTTTACCATACTGGGCTGGACAAGCCGGCGCAAGTCATCCATCCAGCGGGTCCTCTCGGCAGCAGAGCCACAGCTGAAGCAGCGGCGCCCCCCAGTGCTCAGCACCTGAGAAGAGGAAGGAAGGGTTGTGCTTAAGAGCACACGCTGGGTTTGTCCCATGGGCAACCAAACCCTGGGGGACTTGGGAGTGACAAGGAAGAGGCAGGGTTTAATCCAAGCCAGGCATCAGCACTGCATCCCAGTGCCAATGCTAGGGCCTCGCCGTAAGCTTAAAAAAAAGTGCTTGCATTGCTGTCTCCCTCTAAGAATGGCCAGCCTCTGGCTTTGCCCTACTCCTTCCCCAAAATATGCTCCTCTGCTTCGTCTACAGGTCCAGTCCCAACAAAAGAGCTTCTTGAAGCCCCTCATGTAGCCACGACAGCTTTATAGATAAAACAACACAGATGACTGAGCTTCAGCCTGAAGGCAGCTTTGTTGAGGTTGGGAAGCCGAGTTCTCCACGTCTTGGACCAGCTGGAGGAGACAGAGTCCTCGAGTGCGTACAGAAGGCATTTCTTTCATCACTGGGTCAAGCTCCCAAGGCCTGGCTCTGAACGTCTTCCTTCATAACTGGAGAAATGCAGCTTCTCAGGTCAAGGGATGACAATAGGCTCATACCTCAAAGCAGTACCGCTCTCCCAGAAGGCTGTTGTGAAGTGGGCGGATCAAGGCATCCTTTTCGTTGCCCAAGTCCATGAGAACAGCCGGGCCAGGAAGGGCCTCCCTGGAGGAAGTGACAAGAGGGGCCAGGATAGGAGAAGACAGTGTGGGTGGACAACCCTGAACATCTGACACCATCACCAACAGAAGCATTATTATCCCTTCCTTGCATATTTTATTAAGACTTTTATTTCTGTTCAAATTAAACTAACTTTGCAGCATCCGGCAGAAAAAGTTATCAGAGGCTTGTCCCTCCCTTAACAGCTTTCTTTGTCTTCTTTCCTGCCATTTTCCTAGCAGCACCAACCTGGAACTGGAGGAGATGTTGGAAGAAGAGTGAAACCCTATCAGGGGGCGAGCACATACAGGGTTCAAAGGGAGTCCCCCCTTCCTAGCATCACAACCCGGGGGAAAGGCCATGTGGGCCCCCAGCCAAACAGAGTGGCTGTGAAGCAATCTGGTACCCGCAACAAAGTAAACAGAGCATCCTTTCAGGCATGGTGAGTTTGACAAAATGTCCATAGCATCCTACCCCCTCTGAAGAAGACATGGTGCCAGCATTTAATGCAGCCAATCCAAGTTATTAGATAAATTCCCTGATCTAACCTTGGTTTCGTTCTAGTTCTCAGGAAATATAAACACAGGCGGAAAGAAATGGGGCCCATTGCATCCATAAAAGGTAAAGGTAAAGGGGACCCCTGAACATTAGGTCCAGTCGTGACCGACTCTGGGGTTGCAGTGCTCATCTCGTTTTATTGGCCGAGGGAGCTGGCGTACAGCTTCCGGGTCATGTGGCCAGCATGACTAAGCCGCTTCTGGCAAACCAGAGCAGCGCACAGAAATGCTGTTTACCTTCCCGCCGGAGTGGTACCTATTTATCTACTCGCACTTTGACGTGCTTTCGAACTGCTAGGTTGGCAGGAGCAAGGACCAAGCAACGGGAGCTCACCCCGTCGTGGGGATTCGAACCGCCGACCTTCTGATCAGCAAGTCCTAGGCTCTGTAGTTTAACCCACAGCGCCACCTGCATCCCATTGCATCCATAAAGAGGCATAAAAGACAGAAAACAATGGACGCTTCTGTTCCAAACTGGCTTCAGGGCCTACCTGTTACCATTAGCAACAAGTCCAGTAGAGGAGTCAGCCTTGGCCTGGAGCCGTCCTTTCCGGTCCTTGATGCGTTTCCATAGCAGCCCCTAGAGATGGTGTGAGATGTAATAAATGCAATAAATAAATGAAGAAACAAAGGAATTCTGAGCGCAGAAGAGTGTTTATCTGTGTGACTTGCCCCATAACAGGAGTGTGGAACTTGGTTTGCTCTAGATGCGACTGGACTGCAACACCCACTACTCCCAACTATCAACCATGGAGGTTGGGGCTGACAAGAGTTGGAGCCCGACAACATCTGGACGAACACAGGTCTCATCTGACAAGCGCCCCAGGTCAGATAATGGTGCTACCTTATGCCAAGCCAGACCATCATGAGCCCGCTCAGCCCAGTGCTGTTTTGAAATAGTTCTTCGTAAACCAGAGATTTAGGGACGCGGGTGGCACTGTGGGTTAAACCACAGAGCCTAGGACTTGCCTATCAGAAGGTTGGCGGTTCGAATCCCCGCAATGGGGTGAGCTCCCATTGCTCGGTCCCTGCTCCTGCCAACCTAGCAGTTCGAAAGCACATCAAAGTGCAAGCAGATAAATAGGTACCACTCCAGCAGGAAGGTAAACGGCGTTTCCATGTGCTGCTCTGGTTCGCCAGAAGCAGCTTAGTCATGCTGGCCACATGACCCGGAAGCGGCTCCCTTGGCCAATAAAGCGAGATGAGCACCGCAACCCCAGAGTCGGTCACGACTGGACCTAATGGTCAGGGGTCCCTTCACCTTTAAACCAGAGATTTACAGAAAATTGGAACTATTTGAAGAGCAACTGTAATCAACAAATTATGCTAGTAGGACTACAAGAAGTTTTGTAAGGAGGAATATATGAAATATTGCAAAGAAGAGAAAGAAGTGAGACATTAGTTATGATATTTAAATGTAATAGTGAAAGTAAGAAATGTAAATTAAGTGAAAAAGATTGGAAGATTTTCAGATGTGATTGATGGAAGTCAGAAAAATTGTATAAGATATAAAAGTATGTTTAATAATTGTAGAAAATGATATGCTAAAAAAACTAATAATATATACCGTATTTTTTGCACCATAACACTCACTTTTTTCCTCCTAGAAAGTAAGGGGAAATGTCTGTGCGTGTTATGGAGGGAATGGCTACGGGTGGCATGCCTACGGATTTTCCTCCTCTAAAAACTACGTGCGTGTTATGGTCGGGTGCGTGTTATAGAGCGAAAAATACGGTAAATGAAATAGCTCTTCGTAGTCTCCCTTGAGGAGTCATGCCTCCCTCCTAAGGCCCCCCTCTCTCCTCCGCTCCCAGCAAGCACCAGTCTGGGCTCCCTGAACCTGCAAAATACTGAACATCTTCTGTACCTTCACATTGCTGAGCTGCGAGCCAGAGGAAGTCTCTTGGCAGGGTCTTTTCTCGGGAGTCTGTGAGTCTAAGAAGCTTCTTCCCTCGATGAGCATTTCTGTCGGGAGCAAAATGGACCAAGCAAAGTGGGCTGGTTGCCTGTCATGTTGGCCAGAAGAGGCAGCTCCTGGAAGATGGGTACCCAGTACCCAGCATCCAGCTCACCATTTGCTGCTCCCTCTGTATCCTGGACTGAGGCTCTTTGCCAGCCCAATTCTGACCCACCCAATGCATTTTGGCGCCAGAGGCGGATCCCAAAATGGTGTCCCCCCTCCCCACCAGGGAAGCAGGAGTGAGGGAAGATCTATATCGGGAATACGGGGGGAATAAAGATTGACATCAGGACCTGCTGCTCCCGTGGACCCGCCTCACCTTGCCCTCACGGGTGAGGTGGGCCTGCGAAATGAATGGTCACAAATACCGTATTTTTCGCTCTATAGGACGCACTTTTCCCCCTCCAAAAATGAAGGGAAAATGTGTGTGCGTCCTATGGAGTGAATACAGGCTCCTTGGCTTCAGCGATAGCAACGTGAAGCCACCTGAAGCCCCCGGAGCGCAGCGCGAACTCCCACTGTGCTCCGGGGGCTTCAGGCGGCTATCCGCAAGCCTTCGGAGCGCAGCAGGAGTTCCCGCTGCGCTCCGAAGGCTTGCAGATAGCTGCCTGAAGCCTGGAGAGCAAGAGGAGTCAGTGCACACCGATCCCTCTTGCTCTCCAGGCTTCGCTTCGCTGGAGAGACGCTGCACAGTTTTCCCTCTCTGCGCAGTGCGAAGTGGGAGGAGAAATGGAAGGGGCTCCGTTTCTCCTGATGCTTCGCTGAAGGGGCGCTGAGCAGAGAGGGGGAGAATTCCCCCCCCCCCCGTTCTCCCCCTCCTATGGTCCGGTGCGTCCTATAGAGCGAAAAATACGGTACTTTCTACACTGGAGCTCTCAAGGAAACATTTTGACACATGATACAATGGCTCTCCTGATCTTATGCCAGGGGACATTGTTCAGGCTCCAGCAGCTCTGTTACCTCATTTAAAGGATCCCAATTTACGGAGCAGGTTGGTGGCTACTGAAAACTAGCTTCCCAGTGGTTGGTAGGGCTCTGACTCCGTGGCTCGCATGATTTGGGTTGTTGGGCTTTGATGTCAAAAATACAAACACCCTGGGCATGATCTCGGAGGCTGGCAAGGACTGGATCCTTCCAACGCCCTGCTCTCCTTTTCAACAGACTCTCTCTCTCTGTGTGTGCATATGGCAGTCTCTCAGTACTCACCATTGTCCCTCTGGGTACCTGGCGGGTATAGTAAACTTGACTCTGAAGCAGAACTGGCTCGTTTCCCATTCTGGAGCAGACCCTAAAATGGCAAACCAAACACCACGGACAAAATAGATGATGGTGATAATGATGATAATGATTTCCCTCTTCCCCATACTTCTACACTACAGCAGGTGAAGACTTTCTTGTTCCAACAACAAGAGCTAAATGTTTTTTTAAGGAAAGGGCTAGTGCTGTGATGCTTTTATTGGAATGATCTGTATGTTTTAACAGAAAAAATAAAAAATAAATGTTTGCTTGTTTTACATGATTGCTTCCCCCCACCCTCAAAGTTTTTAGCTGTTTCTATTTTAGCTGTAAGCCTCCTTGAGTCCCTGTCAAGGGAAAAGGTGGGGCTCAGGACCACAAGACCTCAAGGACCGCCTCTCCCCATAGAAACCATCCCAGACTCTGTATTCAACCACTGAAGCCCTTCTTTATGTGCCTACTCCACAAGAGGTCCAGAGGGTGGCAACACTGAACAGGGCCTTTTCCGCAATGGCCCCCATTTGTAGGATGCTCTCCCCAGGGAGGTTCGCCTGGCGCCTTCATTATATATTTTTAGTGTCTGAGGGAGGGGTGTATGTGTTGTTGTTTTCATTTTAACTATTTATTTGTGCTTTCCCCTTGTATTTTTATCTTGTGAGCCGCCCTGAGATCTTTTGATGAAAGGCAGTATATAAATAATATGATGAAATATAATAATAGATAAATAAATAAACAAACGAGGCAACTTCCCTCGTGGTCCAAAGCAGTGTGTTAAGAAGGCGGCTTTTTAGCCAGTGTAGAAAATTTCTCAACTTCAGGAAAGCAGAAAGGAAAATGGGCCCATTTCTCTCATTGGATCCTGTAGAACAAGCTTAACATAAGAGTTCCCATTTCTGCTCTGCTTCCCAGGCGCTGACATCCTAGCTCCCCCACCCCACACCCCAGAGTGAGAGCTGCATTGGGGCTGGATAGAAGGCCCATTTTCCTTTCTACTTTCCGGGAGTTGAGAGACCTGTATCTGTGACCCATGGAGGACCATTACTCTATGAATCCTTACTGGCAGTGTAGAAAATTTGGCAGGAACCTTTAAGGTACAGTGGTACCTCGGGTTACATACGCTTCAGGTTACATATGCTTCAGGTTACAGACTCCGCTAACCCAGAAATATTACCTCAGGTTAGGAACTTTGCTTCAGGATGAGAACAGAAATCGTGCTCCGGCGGCGAGGCGGCAGCAGGAGACCCCATTAGCTAAAGTGGTACCTCAGGTTAAGAACAGTTTCAGGTTAAGAACGGACCTCCGGAACGAATTAAGTACTTAACCCGAGGTACCACTGTACTGATGCCATCCATAACCAGCAAAGTTGGGCTCAGGTCTCTGAGCAGCAGTGGCTTCAGTCAACACTCAGCCAGCAGTTCATGGCCTGAGAAGCATACACTTCCTTGACATGCGAGCGTGTGTTGGGTGTGCTCAGACAGACACACACACCCTCCTTCTCCCTCCTACAGTTTTGAATGTCAGAGATGGCCCCACCTCCTCATCTCTGCCCAAGACCATTAGCTGTCGATCCACCAGGGACACATTGGCCACATCCCAGATGGTTGCATCCGTTGGCACAGCCGAAGTCAGTTGGGTTAACTGGACAGTAGAATCATCACCTGCAAGAAGAAGAACAAGGAGGCATTTGGGTTTACCCGGGCTCATACTTGCTAATAAAGACGTGAGAGCAAAATATATTTTCCTCCCAACTAAGTAACTACCATCAACGTGTCTTTCCATTATATGCTATGCCCTTGTGACTTGTAACTTGTAACTAGCCTTTATTGGCATAAGTTAAAACAGTAAAATCATAAAATCATACATTGATAATCCAAACACATACAATATATAAAAGACTAGATAAACACCACTGAATAAATCAGGCAACTTTAGATTTAGCATATATATATAAACTGTGTACAGCTGAAAATGCTGGCAGCGTTAACATAAATTCAACAGTGTAAATATGTTTTGATGGATGCAGTAATGGCATCCTGAATGGTATAGTTTCTGTAGAATATGCAGGGATTTATGATATGTAAAATGAACCATGGAAAGCAAAGAAGGGAAGTCATTGATATCTTAAGGATGTAATTATGAGTACTTTAAATTGTAGAAAAGAAAATTTAATTATATATAGGGGGGCATTTTATATGCATTCTAACATACAATATGCATTTATGAACAGTGTTTGCTTTTTGTTTAGGCCAGAGAAGTGTATCTTAAGATTCAGAGATGTGTGAAAACTGAAGGATAACTGATGTTCTGCCATGGCCTCAGAGCCCAGCAATGAACAGCTGGACAAAGGCTCAAAAGTCCTCAGTTCACCCCTAGACCTTTGGAGCTCACTTGGAGCTCTCCGTAGTGCTGCAATACCTGGCCTGCTTTGCTGCTTTGCTGCCTTGCAAAGTGAGTTCCTCTAGGGCAGCGGTCAGCAACCTTTTTCAGCTGTGGGCCGGTCCACCGTCCCTCAGACCATGTGGTGGATTGGACTACATTGGGGGGGGGGGGGAATGAACGAATTCCTATGCCCCACAAATAACCCAGAGACGCATTTTAAATAAAAGCACACATTTGTACCTACGGGACTACCTCTCCTGGTATGTCCCAGGGAGGACCTTATGGTCTTCAAATAAAAACATCTTGGAGATCCCGGGCCACAGGGAGGTTAGGCTGGCCTCAACCAGTGCCAGGGCTTTTTCGGCTGTGGCCCCGATCTGGTGAAACGCTCTGTCACAAGAGACTAGGGCCCTGCGGAACTTGACATCTTTCCGCAGGGCCTGCAAGACAGAGCTGTTCCACCAGGCCTTTGGCCAAGGCGCAGTCTGACCCCCTCACTCTGTAATCCTCATAGCACTCCAGCCCAAGGGTTGCCATTAATTTGATTTTGAATTGATTTTAGAATGAATTGATTTTAGAATGTATTTCAATTAATTGATTGTGATTTTATGTAAGCTGTGTTATTTTTTACTGTTGTTAGCCGCTCTGAGCCCAGCTTCGGCTGGGGAGGGCGGGATATAAATAAAAAATTATTATTATTATTATTATTATTATTATATTCTACTCATGTAAAAACATGCTGATTCCTGGACCGTCCATGGGCTGGATTGAGAAGGCGATTGGGCCGCATCCGCCCCCTGGGCCTTAGGTTGCCTACCCCTACCTCTAGAGAACCAAGGCAGGACATCGGATCTCCATATTAATCCAGGAAGTGCAAATCACCCACTTAATGGGATCCCTTAACACAGACTGGACAAAATCTATTTGGAAGCTGAGCGCAACCATTATGACCGGGGTCACCTTGCTAAATTTGCCTTGAACAATGGAAAGTTGCACAGCCTGTAACTTGGCTTCACTGAGTCACACACACACAAAATGACAATACAGTGGTACCTCTGTTTAAGAACTTAATTCGTTCTGGAGGCCCGTTCTTAACCTGAAACTGTTCTTAACCTGAGGTACCACTTTAGCTAATGGGGCCTCCCACTGCCACCATGTCGCCACCACGCAATTTCTGTTCTCATCCTGAAGCAAAGTTCTTAACTCAAGGTACTATTTCTGGGTTAGCGGAGTCTGTAACCTGAGGTACCACTGTACTGGTGTTTTGGGGTTGATGGGCACACCATTTAGGGTCTTTTCAAGTATTACGCTGCCAGGCTGTGGGCACCGGAAAGTCAAGCATCTCATGCCCTCCCTATGAGTCGCAGCTGTCCTCCTGGTGGCTGAGATTTTTCTATCCCACTCAAGCACAGGGAGAGGTCAGAGGGAAACGAGGGGGTGGCTGCCGGCTCCTCCTGTCCCTGAGGTGGATCCTGCCCGCACTTGTGCGGCTACATGCAGATAGAGATCGGAAAGCTGGATGGGTTGGCATAGTCAATCGCAGCAGAAAAGCATCGAGCTGCAGTTTCCACTACTACCAAGAGCTGCATCATTGGCCAGTTAGTGCCTGCAAAACAGCAAAGCTTGTGCCACACAGTTCCACCTTCCTTCTGACATGCCAATCACCACAGGATAATCTTTGAAAGACATCCCCACCCACAACAGCAGCCCTGCCCATCCCGCCCTCTCCTCTGAGCGGCAGCTAGCAATTATTTGCCAGTTTAACAATCCCAAACAAAATTTGCATAGAGGGTTTGGGTGCAATTAGGAAGGGCGGGGGAAAGGAAACCAAAACCCAATGGAAAGAGACTTGTATACCTAGCTCAACACAAAAATGCAACATAATGTGGAGCAACAGGAAATAAGCTAGGGAGATGGTTGGACCATTGGATGACAAGGAAGGCAACAGCAGGCAAAAGCAGGAGAAGATCTTTTCAGAGAAGCTGCATTAATTCCGTCTTCACAGCGGAAGATACAGGGCAGATCCCTAAAGCTGAAACAACACACACACACACACACACACACACAGACACACACACAGAGAGAGAGAGAGAGACACACACACACACATTACCTCGGTATAAGATCAGTCCGGTTTAAGAACGATTTGATTTACAAACTCAGCAAAACCGGAAATAGTGTCTTGGTTTTAGAACTTTACCTCGGTCTAATAACGGAATCCGAACAGTGGAAGGGCACCAGCGGCAGGAGGCTTCCTTAGGGAAAGTGTGCCTCAGTTTAGGTACGGTTTTGGTTTAACGGTTTTGGTTTAAGAATGGACTTCCAGAATGGATTAAGTTCGTACACCGAGGTACCATTGTATTAATTTTTCTGTTTTACAATCTAAAGTACTCATTTTTACATCCTTAAGATATCAATGACTTCCCTTCTTTTCTTTTCATAGTTCATTTTAGCAGCGCAACAGGAAACACAGGGGGACTCAAAACAGAGCACGTTCAGCTTCCGAAAAGAAGTTCAAAAACTGGAACATCTACTTCCGGGTTTGCAGCGTTCGGGTTCCAAGTTGTTCGTGAACTAAGCTGTTCGAAAACCGAGGTACCACTGTACATTAAACCGCTGTGTGGCTGCATCCTAGGTATTCCTGTTCATAGCAGAAGTCAGAGCACTAATTGGCTAGCTCTTGAGATGCTACAAGTTCTCTTCCTTCCTCTCTCTCTCACCACCCCTCACATACCTCTTGGAATATTTTCCTATTTTTAAGAGGTTTATGATGACTTTAAAAAAAAGATGGAGCCCAACACTACCATGCTACTGTATCTCATCTTTTTAAAACACACACACATACACAGAGAGAAAACTGGCTGGGTTGTTTAAAATAATGTTTGAGGTATTGACGGTCAAAAAATTAAATATGGAGGGAAGGTGGGCCACATATGAAGAGATTTTGATGGAAACCAAGCAAGGCTTAAAACTTAAACCATATGATCAAACTGAAGGTTTATTTACAGGGTGGTTGCAATATCATCAAGTTAGTGACACATTTAATGTTGCTAAGAAGAAGGTTGGTTTTGAAAACAAAAAAATCAAGATTTCAAAATCGATCTGTTGGAAAGCAGAAGTAAACTTTTATCTAAGATGTACAATTTGTTGTTAGTATGGTTTACCAAAGATGAGGAAGTGAAAGAAGTGGTGATAAAATGGGCACTAGACTTTGGGCACAACATTGAATTTGATTCATGGATAAAATTGTGGAATGAAAATTTGAAATTTACAGTGTATGGCATTAAAAGAAAATGTAATGAAGATAGCTGGTATTTGACAACAGTAAAGTTAACTAAAATGTATAGAATGAGAGATAAAACATGCTGGAAATGTAAAGAATCAGATGGTGACTTTTATCACATGCGGTGGACTTGTGACAAGAGTAAAAATATTTTGGGAACTGATTTATAATGAACTAAAAAATATGTTTAGATATACCTTCCCCAAAAAAACCGGAAGCATTTTTGCTAGGTTTGATGGGAGAGGAAATTGCAAAGATAGACCAAAGACTATTTATGTACACCACAGTTGCAGCGAGAACTTTATTGGCCCAAAAGTGGAAGTTACAGGAGGTACCTACCATTGCAGAGTGGCAGGCGAAGATGATGGACTTTGCAGAAATGGCCAGACTGACTTGCAGGATTCAAGACCAGGACGATTAGAAATTCCAAAGGGACTGGAGTAAATTTATTGCATATTTGAATAATAATTGCAAAAATCTGAAGACACAAGCAGGATTGAAATAAATCCTACAATGTGGACAATAGGTTAAAGATTTAAACTGCGCGATCTGAAAGTGGAAAACCTACTGAAGGGAAGGAGGAAAGTCGTATGCTGGGCAGAGCAGAAAGTCTTTGTGTTTGGTATTGTAATGTTGAAAATACTGTTTAAGGAAGAAAATAAATAAATATATATATTTTTTAAAAAATGTTTGTAAAAAAAAAACCACAGAAGTTTTTTGTTATGTACTGATGTTCTCACCCTGGGCCAGCAGGGGGATACTGTAGATAGTTATGCAAATGAAGGATCGAAAGTAACGTTCAGTGATTGGATAGTTTGTATGCAAATGAAGGATCGAAAAGTGACGTTCTGTGATTGGATAGTTTTAGAAAGTTGCAACAGTTACTATTGTTCTGGAGCTCTATATAAGCAGGCTGACTGAGCTCCTCGGTTAGTTCTGTTCCAGCTTACAAATAAAGAGCTGCTTTGGAAGAATCGCTGTGTCATCTGATATGTTCACCCACAACTTAACATTTTTCTTTTGGGAATTATATGGCCAGAACTACCTTAACTGTATAGAAACTTATTCATGTATGCGACCACAGCGGCAAGAATGTTACTCATCCCAAAATAGAAAGAAGCAGAAGTCCCAGCAAAGGAAGAATGGATACAAAAACTTATGGAATATGCAGAAATGGCAAAACTCACCAGAAAACTAAGAAATCAAGATAACAAACTTTTTAATAAAAGAATAGAAATGGTTTATTGAATATTTACAAATTGTAAACAGATAAGAACATTGGCAGGATTATTGTAATAACCTGCAGTTTTATAAGAGTATACATTTAAAGAAGATGAATAAATGAGCAAATTAAGTTAAACTGGACATGCAGAAGATATTAAAAATAAATTTAAGGAACCACAGAAAGAGGGGGAAGGAAGTCAAGCTTTGAAATGTTAAAATGATTGAAAAATTAGTGAAATGTATAAACCCGAAAAGCAAAAATAAACCTTTTTTTAAAAGAAAAGAAAACTGGCTAGGCATTCCCACGCATGCAGGAGTTCACACCAAAGCACGCCACCAAATAAATAGTTTATTTGCTTTTAAAACAAACAAACTTAAATAATAAAATATAAACGGGAACAAAAGGCAGAGCGATAGCACTGGCAGCAAAGGGAGAGGATGTGTCACTTATTATAAATGATATAAAATACACCACACACAGACACAGCTGTTTCGCAATCACATTCCACAAAAGCGCTGCTTTGAGGTAAGGAGTGTGGGCTGTGCACAACAAACAAGTGCAGATTTATGGAGCGGAACGCCAACTCGCGTAGGAAAAGCCTTTCACCAAAGTGAAGGAAGTAGCTGCTACGGCCGTCATTTCAACACCAGCAGAACGAAAAAGCTTGCATGTTTCAATGCAGACTTTTTAAAATGGTGCAGTCAAGTAAACCAAACTAAGGCATGAAACAGACACCTAAGGAAGACCTAAGCTCACCCAAACCGTATTATTAGCAGTTGGCAGAAGCAATGGAGCAGGAGAGGGCAGGGAGTGTCAAGGGATTTTCCTTTGCAGGTTGAGAGTTGGAATCAAATCAAAGAACACATTCAGATGTGCTCAAACGACTTTAGGCATCAAGAGCCTCACTGACTTCAGAATGGTGTCAATAGGACGGAAGTGGTTTGCAGTCAATCATTTCAGCTTAACTGGGTCAGCAATAGATCTATTTTGCATCGTCTTTAGTTCAGCCAGCATTCCTCCCTTCTGCCCCACAGGGAAGAAAATCCCATTCAATTTTGCACCTAAACTGAAATGTGGTATAGGGGTAAATTAAAGAAGACTAGGAACTTTGCACTTTCCTAAACTTTTAACTATCTCCCCAGCCGATCACCACACCAGTTCTTTTTTTCACGGCAGCCTGATGAAAGACAGACAGCTGCTTACTTATTGCACAATAGTTTCTAAACCGTGGTTTAAAACCAACCATTATTCTTCCCAGAATTTGGCAAGAAGAGAGAAATTCCTGGAGAGGTGGAGAGGCTCACCCTTTGAGAAACAGAGGAAGACACTGGCAGCCCAGACATAGTATCACATCATTTATTTTCCTTGGCAGATTAATCCAGAATATCAACTTCACTTTGGTTCTTTTTGCGTTCTAATACCGATCAGAACAGTTATGGGTTGTGTCAGCTTGGCTGAAACAACCCAAATTCTGTGCATGAATAAAATACGGACATTAAGGGCATTTATTTTGCTCTTTATAGAGACGCGGGTGGCGCTGTGGTCTAAACCACTGAGCCTCTTGGGCTTGCTGATTGGAAGGTCAGCAGTTCGAATCCCCACGAGCTCTCGTTGCTCTGTCCCAGCTCCTGCTAGCCTAGCAGTTTGAAAGCACGCCAGTGCAAGTAGATAAATAGGTACCACCCCTCTCTTCTGCGAAATGATTTATAAATGAACTGGGGGGGGAATGTTTAAAATAACTATTGTTTAAAAAACCTGAGGCTTTCTTATTAGGTATAATAGGAGAAGAATTACCGAAGGATAAGAAAGTACTGTTTATATATGCAGCAACAGCAGCTAGAATGTTATCTGCCCAGGGATGGACTATGCCAAAATGGCAAGCCTGACTGGGAAGATCAGGCACCAAGAGGATAATAAATGGCATAACTTTATAGAATATATTAAAGAACGCTGTAAACATTTAAAAACGTTAGCAGGATTGATTTAGCACTTATAATTTAAAACAACAAAGGATAAAGTTGAAGTGTAATAGTTTAGATAAATTGAATTAGATGCAGTAAAAAAGGAAGATAAATTATGGAAGCCAAGGGAGGAGTGTGGGGAAGTCTGGGGGTTCAGGGAACCCCATAAATGTACTGAAATGGATTATGGGTTAATGTAAACATGTGTGTGTGTGTGTGTAAAATTGTTTTTTGAAACTTTGAAAGAAAAAAAAGGATAAATAGGTACCGCTGCGGCAGAAAAGTAAATGGCGTTTCCGTGCGTCCAGGGGTCCTTTACTTTTATTTTTTACTTTTTTATTTTGCATATACTATGGTTTGTGCAAGGTAAAGAGTCATGCAGAGCACTGAAGCATCAATTCCTCGTTGCTCCTTGCATTGTCACCTGGGATTTCACCAGTCACTGCCTTCATGCTTTCAAAAGATATCTCAGTCATAGGCGATAGAACCCTAGACAGGATGTGGAAGGTGTTTTTGAGCAATGTCAGGCCTTGAACCAGCTTTAGGCAGCTACCCACTTCCCCCAGCCTGTCCTGCACGTATGGTCTGCTCTCTTCTAGTTCAAAACAACACAGAAACCTAGCTGGTGTCCATCACAAAACTGCCCTTGGGGAGAGCTGTCTTACCTTTGCTCGCTTCCTTAGTCTCCCTTTCCGATCGGAGGGTCCCCTCCTGGTTCCTTCGGTGGGACACAGAGCGCAAGTACTTCCTTAAACTCATCTTACTGCTTCTCTCCTGGGCCTTGGGCACTTTGGCCGGAGTGGAGAAAGCCCTCTGGAAGACGGATCTCTTAGCAGCAGCTCTGCTGTCTTGGGGGGCCGCTGGTGCTTGTGGATGCTCATGGCTAGATTCAGAAAGCTCGGTCTCTGGCTGGCTTTGTACTCGCCTCCATTTCTGTAACTTGTCCCTCCGGCTGCTGCTGCCCCATGTCGCATGGTTAAACTCTGGTTCCTTCTCCCCGTTCTGTAGAACTGTCTGCCACCTGTAGGACCTCAACAAGGACGGCGTATCTGTTCCGGACCTGTGTTTCTGGGGAGCCTCCATCTGAAAAGCAAAAGTGTAAATGCAGAAGGTTCCAGAAAAGCATCAAAAACAAAAGACCCTCGTATTCCATGCAAGGTTTCGGGATATCGCAGTTAAGCTAAAAGTGAGTCCAGATTTCCCACCTTCTGGTTCTTACTGAATGGCCTAATACTCTTCCTGTCTTGGCAGTTTGACCAAAGCCACATGGTTCCCTCTCCTGAGCAGCAAGGAAACACAAGCGATACCTGCCTTCTCAGCATAGCTGTCAAGCGTCCCTTATTTGGCGGGACAGTCCCTTATCCCAGCACCATGTCCCGCTGCTGTCCCTTATTGATGAGGCTTCGTTTGGCTGCTGGCTGGGCTTTCTGCCTTTGGCTCGGAGGGGCTCAGAAGCTAAACATACCTGTGCCCGGAAAATCCCTTATTTTGGATGCTGATCCCTTATTTTCGAGGCTGCTGGTCCCTTATTTTCAAATCTGTAAGTTGATAGCTATGCTTCTCAGGGCAATTGAAAGATGCACTTTTCTCCTCCTGAAACCCAGAAGGTAGTCTTTCCCCACCAAGGAACAGTCCTTTTTAGTGGCAGGTGGATGTTGCAGCAGGGTTACCGCAGTCAAATTCCATCCCTGTCCATTCGTGGAGCGCAACTGAGAGGTTTCTGGTCCTGAGAGATGCTGCCCTGCACCGGCTGTGTTTCAGTCACGGACATTTTTCTAGCAAGGCTCCTGCGCCTTTAACAACAGGAACAGAAAATAAGATGGCAAGCCCAACTGCATCCCACACTGTCATTCTCATACCCAGACACTTCCTGTGATGAAAGAGATTGCACCGCGCAGCATTGCTAATTGTAACTTGCAAGCTAAGCTCCTTGAGGCTTGCAGAACCTGGGAGCGGACAGTGGAGTATCAACAGAAGCCCATCTGCCTTGTCTGAAACTGTCGAGAGAAGGTTCGCCGTGCTTTGCCAAACCTCACAGACTGTGGTCTAGCTCCAAAGAGCCATGGGTGGGGCACTGTGGGGCTTGCCTCTTGAGCAACCGGCTCTGCCCTGACCCACAGAACCTGTCCTACCACATCCCTTGTGCACTGGGAAGCCATCCTGCCCAACCCCCTTGCATGGTGCCAGCCTTGGAGCAGGGATTGCTCTGAGCAGGGATTGCTGTGCATCCCAAAGCGAGGACCAACCTTTCATTCCCTACCCTCCTCCCTGCTGTGGGCACTGCTTTGTTCTAGGCAGCTAGCTCCACAGCCCGGTTTAATACTTCAGAGGTGTCCAGAGGGTGAGAATATGGGACCCACAGGAACTGGGGCAGCAGGTTCGTCTGGCACAAGTTCATCAAAAAACCACCGAAGGGAAAATCCTGGCTGAGTAACACCTACAGAGCAAAATCTTTTAGGGCATATTTGTGCAGGATTTCGTTCAGTCTCAGTTGTGCTTTGCTGGGTTCTCTGGATATCATTTTTATTGTGCATCAGTTTTTATTTGTGCTCCTGGTGGTATCAGGGCAGTTGTACACAATCCCCTTTTCAATACTGTTTCCACCTGCAAAAGTTTCCGGGGGAACATACTGCTTCCTTTCCAACCAGTGCATGCCCCATAGCTTCCTCCTGAAATTTAATCATTAGTTATGCAAGCTTTTTGCACCACAAATGTTCTGGTTTTTGCCCTGCCTTTGTTGTGCCACAGTGCAAGAGTGCCTCTCCTGAATAATGCATTTTTTAAAAATGTTTTATTTTCAATTTTCAATTGTATCTGCCCAATCAACAGCTAGATCTCCTGCAACAAAGGGGTGCAGAGTACATCTCCCGGTCCCAATTCTGTTACTTCTCTTCCTCACCCCTCATTCTGCAACCCCCACCCAATAACCAGTTCCCCTTCCACCACAGCACAGAGCCATCTGCCCAGTTACCTTGGCTTCCTGCTGAGCTCCTCACCCCATCCTGCCTTCACCACTTCACTGTCTGGCTGATTTCCTCCCCTCCTCATCCTGTGCTCTGCAAGTCCCCATGTGATCTGCATCAAAGATAACAATCTCACCTCCCTCTGCCTGAGCAGCACCAAGGCTGCCTCTTACAGTGTGGGTGGCTGAAGCCATTCTCTGTCTGTCTAGCTCAGAAAGTGCACATTTGCAAAATGGACTTGGGCTGCTTGGACCAGGCTCAGCCAAAGCTCTCACCCGGTCGATCCATTCTGCCACCAGAGAGCAGGTTATACACATTTCACATCTGCATTTCTTCCTATGAGGAGCCACATGGCAACCCAGTTCAGAGCGGGCAACTTGCTGAAGTGGACCAAGCCTTGCTGTTATTATTATTATTATTTATTAAATTTATATCCGTCCTTCATCCAAGGACCCCAGGATTGCTCTTCTCCAGACGTGTGTGACGAGCACACATTGAGTGGAATTCAACACCATGCTACAGTGATCGTTCTTTGAGCCAGTTGCCAAACCATCTCTCTCTTCCTTGTGCTGTTTTGGGAGAGGAGGGGAGAAAAGCCCTTATTGCACTAGTGGGACCTGCTGTACTGGCTATTCAGTTGAAGCCATCTCATTCGGTTTTGCATCTTGCTTGTGCATCAAAGGACTCACCCATCCTTCTGCTTGTCTTGGGCCTAGAAAGCCAGGTCTCGGCAATTTTCCACTTCTTTCCAAGAGAAAAATAGCTCTTTAGTGATAGGTCAGAACAAATGGCAATCTGGGGGAAAACCTGAATTGCTGTTTGCTCCGATTGAGCACTAAAGAGCAGTTTTCCTTGGAGAAAAGCAGCAGGACAGGGGGAAGTGTGGATGAGCCCACAGTCAACCATTCAGATGCTGCAAGTCCATTTTGAAGCAGTGCCAGTAAAAGTTTCCTAGGACAAATGATGCCTGCCTCCAGCATAACAGCGCAAAGAGGATTCTTAGACAATTGAACAGGTAAGACCCTGGAGCAAGAGCCAAATTAAATGTGAGTTGTGATTGGATCTTCCAAGTTTTGTTTTCAAAAGATCAAAGTGGAGGAGCCCAAATTAGATCAGGGTCATGACACATGGGGATGTGAGCTAAACCCTCTCACCTTGTGCCATTGACCCATTCTACGTGTGTCTTTTATTTATTCGAAAAGTTTCTATGTTTTGGTGTAACCTATGGTTGACTGACTGATATTTATATGCAACCTTTTGTCAATAATTTTCAATTGGTTCATAAACATTAAAAACAAGTTCAATAATGATAAACAATATAAACAAAACCTACAGCAGATCAAAGCACAATTAGCAACGAGAGATGTCAAAATATTCATGATTTCTGAAATAATTTTATAAGGTTTAGGTGAAAAGAAAAAGTTTTTTGCCTGACACCTAAAAGAAAGCAAAGTTCAGAGCAGATGTTCATAGGCTGCAGCGAACTTCTTAGAACTGTGAAAGCTCTGGCATCACAGCTTTCATAAAGTGCAGAAGAGAATATGGGTGGACGATGGGACAACCAGCCTCATATAACCACCATGCTTAATTCATGTATGAAGGGGTTAAAACCATAGAGTAAGCTCTGTCCTGTCCTGCCAGGCTTAGCTGGGTCACATCCCCCTACCTATTGTTGTATTCAGTCAACATGAGAAGCTCATTGTGTAAAGAGGTTTGAGTTGGTTGCTACAGCTCAGACCACATGGCTCTCACAAGCCTCTCTTGAGTTCCTATACCAATAATTCAGGAACTTTCACCACTTTGCAACTAAGCCGGCTTAAATTTTTAACATAATTATTTATAGATTTCATTTATATACATTTCAATAGTTTAACAATAGTTCTAACATTTCAAACCTCCCTTCCTCCTCTTTCTGCGGTTCCTTGCATTTATTTTATCATTTTCTGCATATTCTAAATTAACTTAACTTACTCTCCTTTTATACTAAGCCAGGTTTTATGGTCTGTGAACTTTCTGAAGCACGTGAATCTGAGCTTTAGAGAGTTTATAATCAAACAAAAATTTTAACTTACCAAACTTGTGGTCTTTTTCCTATTCCGGAAGAAGAGGGAATCTCTGGAACTCACTTTGAAGGGCATATTTTAAAGATCTAACAGCCTATATTTCCACGGTTTGCTGCATATTTTGCAAATTTAAATCTCCACTGGTGTTTCTCCCACCAAAGAGTACTTGCCCCAAACTTGGATCTTGGCACCCAGGAATTCTCTGTTTATATCTATTTTTCCCTTGCACCAGTATGGACAACACCGGCGTCTCCGATTGGTGAGCAGTATGAAGCCTCTGGATTTGCCAAGTCTGGCTTCGACACGAGGATCCTGGCCTTCCAGCTGCTCAGACAACACAGCAGCAGCACCCGGCCTTCAGGCTTCCTCCTCATCCTTTCCCACACTCTCCTGGCCTACACCTGAGTACTGCAGTACCTGCCCTACCACAATGGCACACGCCTAAGTTACACCCCGTTTGGATTACTGCAACATGCCTTTGTAAAGTGTTCGGAAACTTCAACCAGCTCAAAGAGCTGAAGCCAGATTGCTGCTTGGCAATGGTTATAGGAAGTGGACAACTCCCTTGTTGCAAGAGCTCCATTGGCTACCGGTCTGTGTCTAGGCACAATTCAAAGTGCCGGTTATGACCTATGAAGCCCTGCGTGGCTTAGGTCCAAGCTCTCTGAAATACCATACTCCCGCATGTGAACCTGCCCTGGTTCTGAGATTTTGAGAAAGGGTCTTCTTGGTGGCTGCCCCAGGCAACTTTGGAACTCCTTCCATGGTTCAACTGTTTCTCTCCTTGTTGTCCCTCTGCCGACAAGGGCTCTTGGGAACAGACTGCTTTTAATTAAAGGCCTGGTTTTTCTGTTATTATTTGTATGGTTTCAATAGATTGTTTTTTAATATAGATAAATTCTGTCAAAGCTTAATTTTAAGAAAACAATTGCTTATATCCTATGTTTTTAGCTCTTATTTTTATCTGTCAGCTGCCTTGAGTCCCTGCAAATATGCACTAATAAATATGCAATAAACGATAATAATAAAAATCCACAGTGAGCTGTAACCAAAGTTTGTTCTTGGCTAACCACTCATGGTTTGTTTGGGGGAAACAAACCATAAGTCCAAGTTTAGACATAACACCAAGCCAAACCATGGTTTACCTTCCCGCAACACAGCAGTAGGGGAGGAGCCAAGCACTTTTCACCCCTTAAACCACAGTTTAAAACATAGGTGAACTAACGTGACTGTTGCAATCCACATGGAAATAACATAGTGCGTTGAAAACCTGTCCCGAGTTAACACTCAAAACCAGCGGTGGAAAAACAGGAAAACAAACTCATAGACGTGTTAAGAGAGGCATTCAAATAAGTAAAACTGAGGACCCAAGTAAGAAGGGGAGGGTAGTCAAGTATAAAAGGAATACGAATGAATCAATTTTTGTTTTTGTTTTATTATTATTTATAAATACATGTTTAGCCATAGGAGAACTGAGATGTTATAATGTGATTCTATGAATGTAACTTAAAAGAAACCAATGATTTGCCCAAAAAAAAGAAGAAAGAAAAATGAGTGAAATGCATAAAACTAGTGAAATGTGTAAACTTGAAAAGTGTAAATAAAATTTGAGGGGGAAAATAATTACGTATCTCAAAGCCTGGCACTCAAGCCTGCCTGAAAACCACATCCTCTGGTCTGGAAACATTCTTTCTAATACAAAGGCACGGGTGGCAATCCCCATAACTCTTTGGGAAGGCAAAGGCTCTCTGCAGATGTTCAGAGGCACATTGCTACTGAACAGACCACCCGCTGCAGTAGGTCGGAGGAGCCCTCGTCCAGATTAAGCCCTGCCAAGCAGCAAGTGATGGAGAGTGCTACATCAGACAGGATACCTGACCTGTTTCTCAGAGGCCACTGACAGCAGCTAGAAAGAGCAGGTCTATCGGTTTTCACCACAGCCATCGAATGCAGACAGCAGACTCATAATCGTACTGTCCCCACCCCACCCCCATGCAGTGCAACCAACCTGAGAAAGCCAGACTTACATTTGAGGACAAAGGCCTGTAATTGGAAGCAGACTTAACTCAGCGCTTCAAGCTGTTTTCCACACCAGACTGATATGAAAAGGTGTTCAATTCAGAATCAAAAAATATGTGTAGAGTCCTCTTCCCCCAACACACACACACACACACACACACACACACAACTGAATGCACTGCATGATTTACCTAAATTGTTGTGGTTTCTCAAAATAGCTGCGCTACTGTTTCCTCTGACAGCGCTGTGGCGCTGACATAAAAGTAAAAGCTCATTATTTTCAGTGTGGCTCCCGGGGCAAAGCTTCAGCTGCTCCTTTTTCACCCTTCAGCAGCAGCGCTGAGGGCCGGGCTGGCTGCAGAAAGTTCTAGACCAGCATTTCCTTTCGCCTGTAGATTTGGCCTGGAAAATGTGCCGAGTGTGGATTGCAGCAGCTCGGCTGCTCACCAGAACACTGTCACCACTGTGTTATGCTGAAGAATTGCACTGGCTGCCAGTCAACTACCAAGCTAAGTTCAAGGTGTGAAAAGATATGTGCAGCTTGGGATCAGGATACCTGAAAAAAACATCTCACCCCTTATATATTCAACTGATCTCTCTGCAGGCCTCTATCATCCCACCAGGAGGTTCAGTTCCATTTACTATCATACCCTCCAAGTGTCACGATTTTCCAGGACAGTCCTGGAATTATGAAAGGCATTCCGGCTTCTCACCTGGCCCCAGAATGTCCCGATTTTCCCTGCCATCACCATCGCGCTCGGGGAAGAGGATGAGCCTGTGGTTGTCTCCACAGTGGCTGCAGTTGCAAAGAACTCCCTGTTGCCAACCTCCTCCCTTGGGCAACTCATAGCGGCTGCCGAAAAGTGGGGGAGGAGGAGGGGAGGCTGCCCCTGGTGAGGTCCAGCCCCCAGGCCCAGACAGAGGGGGCGCCATATGGGCCACTTGGCCCGGGCCTCCGATTCTAAAGGGGGCCTCGGTCAGCATACGTTCCCTATGTATTTTTAAAAAGCACTATTGTACAGTCATACCTCGGGTTGAATGTGCTTTGGGATGAGCGCGTTCAAGTTGCGCTCTGCGGAGCGCGTTACTTCCGGGTTTCACCGCTTGCGCATGCACAGAAGCTCAAAATGACGTCATGTGCAGAAGCACCAAAACGTGACCCGCACACGCGCAGACGCGGGTTACGTTCGCATCTAGAGGTACCACTGTATATCTATATTTTACATTTTGTCTTTATATGCAGATACGGTTCAAGCCTTGAAATAAAAGTATTTGTCAGCATAACTTTCATGAAAATTATTTATATACTTATTTATAAGACTTCAGTTATCCCCAGGGTAAAAAAAGGGAGGCCACATTATCTTCCTGGCCCGGGCCTCTGCCTGGCTCTGCAAGGCCCTGCCAGCCCCGTGTGATGCACCAGCTCTGAGGGGCAAGAAGAAAGGGGGAGCAGAGCAGAGCACAAGGAGTCCTGATTTTTTTAAAAAATGTTTTGTGTGTACGTGTCTAATCCTGTCCCTTTCTAATATTTATTTCTTGGTGTGTGTTTTTCACACTGTGGACTCAAGCTTAACATGAGTCAGCAGTGTGATGCAGCAGTATAATGCTTTTCAATTGAAAAACTTGATGGTACTAATCCACTAGCCGAAGGGGAAACCATGTGTGAAAACAGAACTTTCAGAATCAGTCTATAGAGCAGGTCTTTTCTCACTTACTTTGCCTGCTAAGGCACAAACCCCTTCCTATATGCTACAGTGACCATATGGAAATCAAAAGTTTTTTAAGCTAGTCCCGCTGATCTCACTTCTCATCCCTCGCACTCTGTCTTTTCAGGAGGCAGGGGGCATGGCCGAATTGGAGCAGTTGGGACAGACTCTACTTTAAAAATATTCTAATGTAAATGGTATTCCCACATGGAGGGGACTTTTCCTTGTCAGTCTACAAAATTGCAGATGGTTGTGGTATCACCTTAACCAGCTGTTAGGATTGCTTTTAAAACCAGATCTCTCTGTCCAGGCATACAGGAATCTGACAATGTTAGAACACATTTTTGTTAACTTTTCAATTGTTTAAGGAGATAGCATCTTCAATTTATAGAATGCTAATAGCCCCTGAATATGGCAATTTTGTAAGTGCAAGAATGTCCTGGGCAATGGACCTAGAAATTCACATAAAGGTAAAGGGACCCCTGACCATTAGGTCCTGTCGTGACAGACTCTGGGGTTGCGGAGCTCATCTTGTTTTATTGGCTGAGGGAGCCAGCGTACAGCTTCCGGGTCATGTGGCCAGCATGACTAAGCCGCTTCTGGCAAACCAGAGCAGCGTACGGAAACACCGTTTACCTTCCCACCTAAGTGGTACCTATTAATCTACTTGCACTTTCACATGCTTTCGAAATGCTAGGTTGGCAGGAGTAGGGACCGAGCAACGGGAGCTCACCCCGTTGCGGGGATTCGAACCGCCAACCTTCTGATCGGCAAGTCCTAGGCTCTGTGGTTTAACCCACAGCGCCACCCGCGTCCCTTAGAAATTCACATACCTAATGAAAAATAGCCTGCCTTGTAGTCTGACATTGAAATCAGTTTCTGTCATAATCTGGGAGTCTTCATTAAAGTTATTGCATAGGTGGCATTATGTACCAATAAGGCTATCCCGGATAGCTCCAACTGTTGGAGGAAATGTGCTGTTAAAGGTACTTATATTCATATGTGGTGGCACCTCAATAACATTAAAACTTTCTGGAGCAATGTATTTAAAAATTTTTTAAAATACAGCCTCCAGCTGTTTTTGAACTACAACACCCTTCATCCTTAGCTAGTAGGACCAGTGGTCAGGGATGATGAAGGCCCAAGGTTGAGAAACAATGGTTTAGATCACTGAAGGAAACCACTAAATGAGACCTTTTGGAATAATTCAATGAAACTTTATTATAATGATACAAGTCTGTACAAATACCAGGACAAGTTTTTGTTGTTTGTTGTTGGACAATTTGTTGTTTTATTGTTGTTACTGTAATTTGGAAAATAAATGAAAATATTAATAAAAGAAAAGAAAAAAAAGCTCATATGTTTTAAAGAAACAGATACTCTGGGAGTATAGAGATGCTCTCGTCTCTTGGGGGGGGGCTGCTCCCTTCTTATGGGGTGGCTGCTGTCCGCTTCTCTTGGTGGAGGACTGTGGTGGGAGCTTCAAAACCTTCCCAAACTCAGGCTGGAGGCATCTTGTCAAGCTTCACCCACAGCTGGACAGCAAGCAGCCGAATAGCCGAATCCATGACTGAAAAAGCAGGGAAGTGGAGGATGAATGTGCAACAGCCACACACAGAATAGTCTGGCTCCAAATCTGATCCATTTGTGGCTTAAGCCCCTGCCACCTTTCATAAGGGCTGGACACCACCAACTTATATACCTGGGGTGCCACTTCTGAAGTGTCAACGAAGTGGTAGAGCACTTGTGGATCTGAAGAGAGACAAGACGGAGGAAGAGTCTATACACCAGGACTGGCCTGTGCAGTTTCCCACCTTTGAATGAGGAAACGTGGTTTTATGGTCTCCCTTTTTATCATTGGTGTCTTGCCAGGCTGCTTGTAGGCCCTTTTGAGAACAGGCTGCCACTCTAGCAGGGTTCCTTGGGCCTGATCCAGTTGCTGCAGGGCTCATCTATTGCTGTCCTCCAATTGTCCTCCTGAGCGAGGCCTATGAGCTGGGGGGAGGGACCCACGATGAGGCGATGGCCTGCACAACAGTCTGGAGGGTCTCCAGTTGAGCAAGAGAAGCAGCCTTATTTGGGATCTTTAGAAACTCTCCAAGGTTGGGGAAGGACAGTTGGGATGTGCAGGAACCGCAGGTGAGAGGCCTCCATCATAAACAGCTGTGCACAAAGAAGGCAGAAAGGGGAGGAACATCAGATAGACGCCAAATCCCACCAGGGTTCGGAAACAATGCAGCTAAAGTAGGTTTTGTTTTTAAAGTAGAGTTGGTTTCTGCCTTTCAAGGAGAAATGGATCTCGCTCTCTTCCTGGACTGGGAGCGATGCCCAAAGAGTCACCCCTGGTGGGGCCTTAAGGAGCTGCTTTGTCCAGTAAGATCATTGGTCCACCTCCACGCTGACTAGAAGGTGGCACTCCAGGGCCTCAGGCAGGAGTCTTTCCTTTCCAGTCCTTTGTGCATGGGGGCAGTGGCGTAGCGTGGGTTGTCAGCACCCGGGGCAAGGCAAGTAATTTGCGCCCCCTAACCCCTAACCTGCCGCCGCTGCCAGCTTCTTCTTGCTGCTGCCTGGTCTGGTCTGGTGTGGTTCTCTCCCGCGCTCAGCGCTGCTCTGGGCGGCCGCTGCACTGTCCCTCCCCCAGATAGTCCCTCGCTCTCTCTCCGCACCGCACGCCTGGCACCCACCCCCTCCACAGTGGGCAGCGACCCAGCGGCTCGGATCGGATTCACACAGCCAGCACTGCAGTGAGAGAGAGTGAGTGAGCCAGGTAGGGGCAGAGAGCTGCGAGTGCGAGCGCGCCCCCCCCCAGATGTTGCGCCCGGTGCGGCCGGCCCCCCCTGCACCCCCCACGCTACGCCACTGCATGGGGGGCTGGGTGGGGTGCCAAACTGGGTCTTTGACCCGGGGGAAATAAAGCCTAGTTTCTCCCCTGCCTAAATACAATATAAGATTCTAGTCCTCACAGTCCCAAAGGGCTGATTTAAATGAGAACACAGGAAGCTGTCTTCTACTGACTCAAACCATATTAGCACATCTAGCTCCCTATGGTTTACACTGACTGGCAGAAGCAGCTCTCTAGGGGCTGTTCCCAGCCCTGCCTGGAAATGACATCAGGGAATTTGCATGCAAAAACACAGGCTCCACTACTGAGCAATGGCCCTTTCCCAGCCTGGACAGCATTTTACTGATGGGGGGCGGGGAGGTGGTAATTCTCCTGCCATTTGGATGGAGACAAACAAAAAAAAAACTCAGAAAAATAACTGGAACACTCCCTGGGAACATGGAATTTATGAAGGTCAAAAAATCAAGGAGCATCTTTAAAAACTGTCCATGGGGTGGGGAGAAGAACAAGGCTTCAGAATGTCTCCCCTCTTCCCCGCTTACCTGCTTACCTTACCTTCTGTGGCAGCAGGGGAGGCAGAAGACCATTGTCTGGGCTTTCAACTGTGCCAAAGATAGTTGTCAGAAGGAGACAGATGTTTCCGATGCCAACTGATCCAAAAAAGACAGTTCTCTAAAGCAGCAAGACATCTCTGGTGTCAACTGATCTGAAGGAGACAGCTGAATGAGCTTTTAACTGATCTCAGGATCCTTTCAAACAACTCACCTGTTTTCCTGGGAAACAAAACATTCCACAGCCCATTGTGAAGTCAGCTCTTGGCCAAGGCCTCGCCCAATGGACTGTGGGCTCTCTCTCTCTCTCTCCATCTCAGGCCCATGTCACCACTTGGTATCTTCATCCAACTTCCAAGCACCTGTCCTGCCCCTTGATTTACCCCTCACCAGGAGGGCCAGGGCAGCTGGATCTGGGCTTCCCTTAACAGTTTCACACCCCCAGCCTCGCATCGCTGTGGGAATCAAAGGGAATAAAGTGGGCTCTGATTGTGATCCGGTTTCCACCACCTCATGAAAACTCACCTCCCTGCCCAAGGTGTTGGCTGGCCGGCTGTTCCTCCTTTAGTCATTGTGTGTTAGTGGTTCCAGTGGTTTGAAAGTTCTTGCCTTTTCATTTTAGGGTGTGGGCTACACCTTCTCTCTCCACCTGGCTACTCACCACCTCTAGGCAGCTTCCAAAAAGCACATTTGTACTCTCAGGGGGTCTTCCTTGCTGCTTTATTTTCACTTGAAAACCCCACCTTTCCTCCAAGGAACTCAAGGTGTTATACATGGTGTGCTATCCCTGTCCAAATTATCCTGGCAATAACCCTCTGAGGTAAGCTAGGCTGCCTCCAATACTGGAAGGAGTATGAGGCTATGGTGGGTTGGGGCCTGGGGAATGAGAGCTGGAGGGTGGGGGATTCATCCTGAGAGAGCCCCATTCTCATTATTCAAAAACGGTATCCTAGACCTTTACATGTGTAGCACAGATACGGCCGAATTTTTACAAAACAAAAGTATGACAAGCAGAAATAGAAGTTACCCCAGACCCAGATAAACTACAACATAAACTTATTATGCTTAATTCCCCTTGAAAAGGAGATATTGCCCCTCATTTATAACAAATATTAAACTGAAATGTTAAAAAAAAATAATGAATTTGGAAAAAGTGATCTATAACCAAAAAAAAAAGGATAAAAGCATAAGAGGAACTTAAGATTCTCAATCTCCCTGACAAGACGCAGAACTCTTTCTTTCACAGACAAATATCCTCTGTTACCAAGATAGAAGAGGCTTCACAGTTGTATAGTTGAACTAGCACGATCACCATATGTTTTTAGGCACCAGGTGAAAAGGTATCTTCTATAACCAGGCCTTTGGCCTTTAACTCTCTCTGCCCCCCGCCTGCCCCACAACACACACACACACACACACACACACACACACACACGCACACAGTGAGAGAGATTCAGAGCAGAAGACATTGCCTCTCTCCCTCTTTCTCGCAATGCCCTGCCTGCATTTCCAATAAAAGGGGTGAAGGAAGAGGTGCCATGTTTCTGGGTTCACCAGCAGGCACCAAGAACAGGAGGAAGTTTTATAAAAGGGGTTTTATTTTCTCAAGTGAGGCTCACCTGGTGCCTTCATTATACACCTTTAGGTGCCAAGCAAATGAGAGTAAGCTCTCCAGATGCAGGTAAGGGCCTCCTCCTCCTCCTCGCAGATTGTGTCCACCAGCCACACATTTTGAGGCTATTTTGGCACTTCTCAGTCGGAAAGCCTTTCTTACAGACAAAGGTCACAGCCGGTTACTTCTCTTTCCACACAGTGACACAATTTTTCATTTTGTGTGCAGAACTGATCCCAGGGTCTGCTCTCCTAAAAAGGTCCTTTGCTCCACTTTCCACACTAGACAGTGAGTGGCTAGTTCTGGCCATTCACAATCAGGGTCAGGACAAACTCCTGACTAGTTACCCAGTGTTATGATGCTAAATCACCTTGTTTAATGTGTCTAACACTCCAGATGTTGCTGCTAGATTCCAGCTGCCCTCCTCCCCCTACTCCATGACATCTGACATCCCGGATCTGCTGTCTAGGGCTGATAGTGTGGGAAGGTTTACTTTAGCAGAGTTAAACAATCCCCTTTATAAGTTTATGCAGCGATCAGCTTGTTGCTGACTCGTCTGAGTTCTACTAATAAAGATGCCTTCCTGGTTAAAAATCCCTTTGAATCCCTCTTAAAGAATGCACACACGAATCTGATTCATGTTAATATAAAACTATTTTACCCTCAGATTCATTCAGGTTTACAGAACTGCACCTGAAGGCAAGCTTAGGTTACATAACAAGCAAATAAACTATACCAGAGGGAAGTTGGTCCTGAGGTGACTGCAGCGGAGCAGTTATTTTTCAAAACTACCAGCAACCGACAAACTGGTTGTCACAGCAACCAGTTAGAACATGGAGGCCATTAGTCCTCTGTTGGAATGTTGCACTTGACTGCACCTTTACATCCCCCAGACAGGAGTAGGGGGTTGAGAAACTGGAAATGCACCCGAAGGAGGGAATACTTAAGGGTGCGGGTGTGAGCCCTGCGAGGTGGGGTGTGTATTTTAGGGCTGAGTGAAAAATGAGATCCCAGAATTTCCTATTTGTGGGTGGTGAAATTGGGGGCAGGGGGAGGATTTTACTGATTTGGGGGGGGGGGGGTAATTCTCCTGCCATTTGGATGGAGACAAATGAAAAACTCAGAAAATTAACCAGAACACTCCCTGGGAGCATGGGATTTATGAAGGTCAAATAAGCAAGGAACACCTTTAAAAATTGCCCATGGGGTGGGGGGAAGAACAAGGCTTCAGAATGTCTCCCCTCTTCCCCGCTTACCTTACCTTCTGTGGCAGCAGGGGAGGCAGAAGACCATTCTCTGGGCTTTCAGCTGAGCCAAAGATAGTTGTCCGAAGGAGACAGATGTTTCCGATGCCAATTGATCCAAAAAAGACAGTTCTCTAAAGCAAAACATCTCTGGTGTCAACTGATCTGAAGGAGACAGTTGATGAGCTTTTAACTGATCTCAGGATCCTTTCAAACAACACACCTGGTTTCCTGGGAAACAAAACATTCTGCAGCCCATTGTGAAGTCAGATTTGGCCAAGGCTTTGCCCAATGGACTGGGCTCTCTCTCTCTCTCTCTCTCTCTCTCTCTCTCTCTCTCTGGCCCATGTCACCACTTAGTATCTTCATCCAACTTCCAAGCACCTGCCCTGCCCCTTGATTTTCCCCTCACCAGGAGGGCCAGGGCAGCTGGATCTGGGCTTCCCTTACAGTTTCGCACCCCCTGACTCACATCGCTGTGGGAATCAAAGGGAATAAAGTGGGCCCTGACTGTGATCCGGTTTCCACCACCTCATGAAAACTCACCTCCCTGCCCAAGGTGTTGGCTGGCTGGCTGTTCCTCCTTTAGTCATTGTGTTTTATCGGTTCCAGTGGTTTGAAAGTTCTTGCTTTTTCATTTTAGGGTGTGGGCTACACCTTCTCTCTCCACCTGGCTAACTCACCACCTCTAGGCAGCTTTCAAAAACACATTTGTACTCTCAGGGGGTCTTCCTTGGTGCTTTACTTTCACTTGAAAACCCCACATTTGGTCCAAGGAAGTCAAGGTGGTATACATGGTGTTCTTTCCCTGTGCAAATTATCCTCACAAGAACCCTCTGAGGTAAGCTAGGCTGCCTCCAATACTGGAAGGAGTATGAGGCTATGGTAGCTTTGAAGGATGCCCCCTACACCATCTGGGTTGGGGCCTGGGGAATGAGAGCTGGAGGGTGGAGGTTCACTCTGAGGGAGCCCCATTCCCATTATTCAAAAATGGTATCCTAGACCTTTACATGTGAAGTGCAGATACGGCCAAATTTTTACAAAACAAAAGTATGACAAGCAGAAACAGAAGTTACCCCAGACCCAGATAAACTACAACACAAACTTATTATGCTTAATTCCCCTTGAAAAGGAGATATTGCCCCTCATTTATAACCAATACTAAACTGAAATGTTAAAAAAAGAGAAATGAATCTGTAAAAAGTGATCTTTCTTTCACAGACAAATTTACCACAGATAGAAAAGGCTTCACATCTGTACCAGTTGCACTGGGACTACCATCATATGTGATACAGGGAAGCCATACCGGGGTGAAGGCCTCCTCTTTCAAGGTGTGCCTACTTCTGAAAACTACTGATCTCGACCAACAAATGACACTACACCTTTGAAGGTGCCTCAGTCGTTCCAGAGGTTTTGTCGTTCTGACAGAACACTTTTAACTTTTGCCCACCATAGGGGATGTCACGGGCCCTGCTGCCCAAGACTGGATTGTCCTCGACAGGATGGGGTTTCCCGCTGGGTAGGCTGCAGCTGGGCTCAGCGCTGCCTGGGAAACATCCTGGCGAGGCCCGTACATCATGGCCATTGGGGCGCATGGAGTTTCCGCAGGATGCAAGACTGTAGCTGCTCTGCAACTGTGCACACCTGCAAATAGTCCTGTCCCTGGCCATGCTCCGTCTTTCAGGCCTCCCAGTTCCCCTCATGAAGTGGGCTTATAATTGGGGATGGCAGCAAAGGGGATGGGGCTACTGGCCTTCAGGGTTGGCCAGATTTCTGCTTTCCCCACCTGCCCACTCCCCGTTTTTTGCAGGTATCTCTCATGTCTTCCCAGCTGTGAGTCCGTCTCCCCCAAGGTCCAATTTGCTCTCTTTGTCCAACTTTGGGGAGGTGGTCTCCATCATCCACACCACGTCCAGGATCTCCCTCCTGCTGCACGCCTTCCCCCCTCCTTAGCTGGATGTTGGCATCCCGCAAGAAGCGCTGGAGACCTTACTGGAACCTGAGGCCCGGAAGACTACGTCCCAGCCTAAGTTTGCACACACTTCTTCCCTTTTATTTTATTTGTAAGATTTCTTACCTGCCCTTCACAAGAAGGTCCCAGGGTGGGTGACAGCTATATAGCATACCATTATAAAAATAGATAAAAGAAGCCCAGAGTTAGAAAGGGAACCCAGGGATCATCTAGTCCAACCCTCTGTGGTGCTAATAATAATAATAATAATAATGATTATATCCTGCCCATCTGGCTGGACTTCCCTAGCCACTCTGGGCGGCTTCCCCAGTAAAACTGTTCTGGATGGAGAACAGTATAAATTTCAGCAAAAGGAGATGAGTGTAACAGAAATGTCGGGGTTACAAAAAAAGATGAAATCTTCAGCGGGGAGGGAGTTCTGCTATGTAGGGGCTGCCATACAGAAAGCCCTGTCTCCCGCTCCTCCTGCCCTCCATCCCCCGCCCCATGTCTGATGGTGGGTAGAACTAACACAAGAGCCTGCCCCCATGCAGATATTAACTCCTGAAAAGAGTGATAGGAATGGAGGCAGCCTTTCGTATCATTGGCAGCATCCTGGGCAAGTTATTTCACTGGACTAGTGGCCCATTTTTCTAAATATCCTTTCATTCTCCACACCTCAGGCTCTGAGCAGACCAAGTCTTTCGGAACATACCTTCTATCTGGCGTCCTTGGGTTGAAGGTTTCCTGGAGACGGGTGTCTTTTTCTATGGTCCAAGGCTTATTTTACATGTATATTCAGGCTGAACAGAAGATGGAAGGGTTGCCAACATTACACTCCAGCAGAGACCCCATTAGGGAGGGTTCTAGGGGCATCACCCAAACCGTCAGTGTTTGGTTCTCACAGAGGGCAAGTTAGGCCTTATTGTCTTTTCCAGCACCAGTCCCAGAACTGCCTGGTTTTCTCCCTCAAGGATGCAGACACTTCAGACAGGGTCAAGCGAGGAAGTTGTGCCTTTTTCTGCTCCCTTTCCTGGAGCATCTTTAGTGAATTAGTTTCCATAGCAACATTTTGGCCCAAGCTTACATCACAAAGCAGATACTTCCCTGGCAACTGTTGGCACAGAGATTATTAACCTAACTGGGCTGATTGACTTCATCAGCAGTTTGCAAATATGAAAGCCCTTGCAAGATCTACACAGCATTTTCAGCGGCCCTAAGAAGACAGCTTTTAATTTGGTATCTTTGCCCACCTTGTCCATCAGAAAGCTGATGTTTTTCCAAGAAGTAGAACCCATTTCACTCAAAGATTAGACAACTGAACTATTTAGACAATTCAATCATATTTTACAAAAACGGTATGCTGTTTATTTTAAAAACACAGCTGCTAAAAACATGACCTCAATAATGGTGAAAAGGTTCGCATTTTTCTGCAGAACTCTGTATTGTTGTGGGGTATTTTCTTCTGTGGGGTGACAATGCCTTTTCTGTGGTCCACTGTGGGAGGATATGCATACTTATCACATAGCATGAGGATGTCTTACTTTGTTTTGGACATGAAAGCAGTTGCAATGTTGATTTTCGTAATCTAGACAGAGCCACACAGAGACTCTGACCACATTATAGATTTAACTACACGGAGTGGCTTAGCAGTCAATCACTCTTTCCAGGGAACTGTTAGGGTCCCCTAACAGCTCTCAGCTTCCTTAACAAGCTATAGTTCCCAGAATTTTTTTCTTTTTGAGGGGGGAGCCATGACTGCTTCATGTGATATGATACTGCTTTAAATGTCCGGTGCAGATGGGCCAGAGAATATGAGAACAATTATTACAGCTGCCATTGCTATCTTGGTTGACGCAGTGTTACAAGAATTCAAAGGTCTCAAATATAGAATAAATGTACAAGGCAAACACATACATAAGTATATGAACCACGTGTCTGAAATAGTACAGAAGAGCAATCCTGAAGCCATTTTGGCTCTCCCAAATTGACCTCAAATATTTCTCGGCAAGGAGGAAGGCAATAGGAAAAGCTTTCCAGTTGTCTTTGGACTGTAGGGGCTTACACCTCCCTTTTCGAATACAGTCAGGCAAGTATCTGTTAAGCTGAGCAAACCATCAATATGTGTAAGAGATTCAGAAACTAAAGTATCTACCATCTCAAAGGAATGGCCAGGCTACCCAGAAAAGGTAATAGGATAAGGCATTACCAGGTATCCTGGCAGACGGGAGAGAAGCAACACTCTCAAATTTCTGCTGGAGACCACCTCCTTCTGTGATGTATGTATGATGTTTTGGGGGTTGGTCTTGGGCTACAGGGTGGGCAATTTCAAAAGTCTTTATAGGGTCTTGTGCACCATTGTTTGGGGTTCTCCCTCCTGCGTGTGGTGAGTGGGGATCCTGTTGCAACAGTTTATTTCCTTTAATAAAGATCAGGCTTACTAGCTGCTTTGCTTTCAATTAACAATTGGCCTCTGTTATTTTCTCCGACCGATAGAAATCTCCTGAGGGACTCTATATGGGCTCTAGATAAGGGAATTAAATGTAATCTCTTAAAACAACGGTCATCTTACATGTAGCTAGATGTGAAATGGTGCAATCTCCCCCCATGGCTTTCAGGTCCGGGGCTGATGATATAGCTGTGGCAGAGCTCAGATTTCAGTGGCACCCTAAAAGGTAAAGGTAAAAGGACCCCTGACCATTAGGTCCAGTCATGGCCGACTCTGGGGTTGCGGCGCTCATCTCGCTTTATTGGCCGAGGGAGCCGGCTTACAGCTTCCAGGTCATATGGCCAGCATAACCAAGCCACTTCTGGCGAACCAGAGCAGTGCACGGAAACACCGTTTACCTTCCCGCCAGAGCGGTACCTATTTATCTACTTGCACTTTGACATGCTTTTGAACTGCTATGTTGGCAGGAGCAGGGACCGAGCAACGGGAGCTCACCCCGTCACGGGGATTAATAATAATAATAATAATAATAATAATAATAATAATAATAATTTATTATTTATACCCCGCCCATCTGGCTGAGTTTCCCCAGCCACTCTGGGCGGCTCCCAATCAGTGTTAAAAACAGTACAGTGTTACATATTAAAAACTTCCCTGAACAGGGCTGCCTTAAGATTTCTTCTGAATGTCAGGTAATTATTTATCTCTTTGACATCTGATGGGAGGGCGTTCCACAGGGCGGGCGCCACTACCGAGAAGGCCCTCTGTCTGGTTCCCTGTAGCCTCACTTCTCGCAATGAGGGAACCGCCAGAAGGCCCTCGGCGCTGGATCTCAGTGTCCGGGCTGAACAATGGGGGTGGAGACACTCCTTCAGGTATACAGGACCAAGGCCGTTTAGGGCTTTAAAGGTCAGCACCAACACTTTGAATCGTGCTCGGAAACGTACTGGGAGCCAATGCAGATCTCTCAGAACCGGTGTTATGTGGTCCCGGGGACCACTCCCAGTCACCAGTCTAGCTGCCGCATTCTGGATTAATTGCAGTTTCCGGGTCACCTTCAAAAGTAGCCCCACGTAGAGCGCGTTGCAGTAGTCCAAGCGTGAGATAACTAGAGCATGCACCACTCTGGCGAGACAGTTCGTGGGCAGGTAGGGTCTTAGCCTGCGTACCAGGTGGAGCTGGTAGACAGCTGCCCTGGACACAGAGTTAACCTGCGCCTCCATGGACAGCTGTGAGTCCAAAATGACTCCCAGGCTGCGCACCTGGTCCTTCAGGGGCACAGTTACCCCATTCAAGACCAGGGAATCCCCCACACCAACCCGCTCCCTGTCCCCCAAAAACAGTACTTCTGTCTTGTCAGGATTCAACCTCAATCTGTTAGCCGCCATCCATCCTCCAACCGCCTCCAGGCACTCACACAGGACCTTCACCGCCTTCACTGGTTCTGATTTAAAGGAGAGGTAGAGCTGGGTGTCATCTGCATACTGATGAACACCCAGTCCAAACCCCCTGATGATCTCTCCCAGCGGCTTCATATAGATATTAAAAAGCATGGGGGAGAGGACAGAACCCTGAGGCACCCCACAAGTGAGAGCCCAGGGGTCTGAACACTCATCCCCCACCACCACTTTCTGGACACGGCCCAGGAGGAAGGAGCGGAACCACTGTATTACAGTGCCCCCAGCTCCCAGCCCCTCTAGACGGTCCAGAAGGATGTTATGGTCGATGGTGTCAAAGGCCGCTGAGAGATCCAGCAGAACTAGGAAACAGCTCTCACCTTTGTCCCTAGCCCGCCGGAGATCATCAACCAGCGCGACCAAGGCAGTTTCAGTCCCATGGTGAGGCCTGAATCCCAACTGGAAGGGATCCAAATGGTCCGTTTCCTCCAGGCGTAGTTGGAGTTGTTCAGCAACCACCCGCTCAATCACCTTGCCCAAGAATGGCAGATTTGAGACTGGGCGATAGTTGGCCAAATTGGCCGGGTCTAAAGATGTTTTTTTAAGAAGCGGTTTAATGACCGCCTCTTTCAGCGGGTCTGGGAAGGCTCCCTCACAGAGGGAAGCATTCAGAGGGAAGCATTTGAACTGCCGACCTTCTGATCGGCAATTCCTAAGCTCTGTGGTTTAACCCACAGCGATGCAAAAATCTGGCATCCTCTTCCACCTCTTCCCTTTCGTTGGATGTCATAGTTGCAGGGTCCCACCCCCCTAGAAATGCTTTTGGATATAGCATGGTATTGTCCTGCTCTGATTTGGGACGGCATTTTGTTATCATCAGGGAAAACACAAAATTTGCACATGAAAGTGCCTTTTTTCAGTGGCTCTGTATCTCTATTCTGTATCTTTGCCCTTGCAGACAGAGGCACACAGTGGGCTGGCTGTGTAATTCTTGGACAGATTTCTCTAGTTCACCTCCAGCTGCATTCCTTCATTATTTTCAGTCCCTTTCTTCCACACCACTGCCCCCACCATAGTCCCATGGATCTTATATTTGCGTTCCCCAGATTTTCAAATCAAAGTATTGTATGTATGACTGCCATCATTTATTTTGCTTAAGGATTTTGAATTCAGCCCTGGCTTCCTTGCAGGTGTTGAACAGCCGCCCCCTGGTGTTGGACTTGGGCACTGACGGCACTCTTCCCCCAGTCTGTGGGATGATGGGTTCTTGAAGACTCTCACATCAGGAAACAACATCAGGAAGCTCTACGTCAGATGCAGCGATGAACACCCTTGTCTGTAAAGCACCTCACTGAGAAACCTTTCCAGGTTTGAATCTCTTTGAAGAGTCTGTCTCCCGGGCATAGGGTGTTCCCCATCTGGCGGTGCCCATGGATGGTGTAGTTGGCTTGCAGCTTGGAGCCCCTCACAGCACACTTTATGAAATTGTTCTTCACCAGTTCCATGCTGTGGGCATCTGGCAGCGCCTCCATGTAGTCCCCAATGAAGCTGATGCCGTAGCCTTTGGTGTTGTAGCTCCGTGTGTGCGCTCCTACCCAGTGCCAGCCTCTCCCCTGGTAGATGTATCCATCACCTCCGGCAACATAGCTGTGCAAAGATAGAAAATAAGTTCAAATAAGAAAATTTTCACCTATGATCCTTTTCTTTTACTTCTTTATTTTTTCTTTGTTCTTTTTTTCTTTTTTCTGATATCTTTCATTTCACTCCTTTATTGTGAATAGCATTTTATAGAGGTATAAATAACTGTAAATATGAAAAGAGACAAAGTATTCTATAATTTTTTTCCTTCGTTAGATGTATTTTCTTTTTCCTTTGTATTTTCTTTTGTTGTAAATATGTATGTTTTCTAATTTGTACTAAATAAATAAATAAAGAGAAAATAAGTATTGCTGTCATTCTCTCTCTCTCCCTCCCTCTCTCTCTATACAGTGGTACCTCTGGATGCGAACAGGATCCGTTCCAGAGCCCCGTTTGCATCCTGAATACAACGTAAGACGCATCTGCGCAGGCGCGGGGTGCGTTTTGCCGCTTCTGCGCATGCGCATGACATCATTTTGAGCAACTGCCCATGCACGAGTGGCGAAACCCGGAAGTAACGCACTCCGTTACTTCTGGGTTGCCGCAGAGCGTAACTTTAAAACGCTCTACCTGAAGCACATTTAACCCGAGGTATGACTGTATATATATACTGTGGTACCTTGGTTCTCAAACACCGAAAACCCGGAAGTAAGTGTTCCAGTTTTCGAACGATTTTCAGAAGCCGAATGACCAATGCAGCTGTCAACTTTTGTTTCCGGGGCACCTGCACCAATCAGAAGCTGCGCCTTGGTTTTTGAACATCTCAGAAGCTAAACAGACTTCCGGAACGGATTAAGTTTGGCGCTTTTGTTTTTGCTATTTATTTTGCGTTTTTGCTTTTGAGGCTTTTTCGGTTCATTTGTTTTTGTGACTGTGTGGAATGTGTGGAACCCAGTTCAGCTACTGATTGATTGATTGATTGTGTGACTGCGGAAATGGATAAAAGCCCCCCATCCAAACAATGACTATCATCATGTTTTACTGTGCTTGATGTGTTTAATTTGTTGGAAGCCACCCAGAGCGGCTGGGACAACCCAGTCAGATGGATAGCATATAAAAATTTATCATTATCATTTCAAGGATTTCCATTTGCACAATGGAACAGTCACTCCCTCTCCTACCCCTGCATGTCCCCTAAATATGTGTCTGGGGCTTTCGCAATGCTCTGGATCAGATTTGGGGAGGGTGTGGGGCACATGCAAGGGGAGCAGCAGGAAAGTCCCATAGCAGAAGCAGAAATGTTTGTGCGGACAGGATGTGCTACTTGAACGCTGCCCACAGCTTTGCATACATGAGAGCAAAAACCAGTCTGCAATCTCGTTTTCCAGTTGAAAGGTGGGCTATTCATCCAGTTCCACAGTGCTATTTTTTCTAGAAAAAGAGGTGCAGGAACTCATCCTGAACACCTCCCTCATTCTCTTCTACAGTGGTACCTCGGGTTAAGTACCGGAGGTCCGTTCTTAACCTGAAACTGTTCTTAACCTAAAGCACTACTTTAGCTAATGGGGCCTCCTGCTGCCGCCACGCTGCCGCAGCACGATTTCTGTTCTCATCCTGAAGCAAAGTTCTTAACCCGAGGTAATATTTCTGGTTTAGCAGAGTCTGTAACCTGAAGCGTATGCAACCTGAAGTGTATGTAACCTGAGGTACCACTGTAATGACAATGTCTCCTACCTGAGAAGTGCTGGAACTGAGTTCCGGTGAGTTCCAGATGAAAAAAAGCCCACCTTTTCCGTGAACTCTAGTCTTATACTCCAGTGTCAGTGAAATTAAGCTTTTGGGATCAGAAGCTGGACTAGATTATGATCCTTTCCTTGATCTGGGAATTTCATAGTTCTTGGTGTAGTAGTAAACTTTTGTTTGGAAGGTATCACTTCAGGCCATAGTTGAGAAGGCACCTGGCATGATGGAATGCTCAACAACCATGCAAAAATACCCACAAATTAGAAGTCTGGAAATAGGTTCTAGACTGGCTTTCCCAGGGCTTTCCCAGGGGTTTTAGTTATTTATTTACCAGTAAATGAGCCCCCACCAGCAGTCTGAAGTTAAGTGGTATACCTGAAACACAGAGAACTAGACCTCATTTATTTATTTTTATCCAAGAATGGCATCGGTTTGGATGAGAAGGACCTCTAACTGCAATTTCACCCCAACTTCCAGAACTCAATTCACCTTTCACAGGATTCTGCACTGGGAAATCTTCTCTGAGCCTACGGTGCATCAAACATAGGGATGCTTGAGGAATTTGATATTCACCCATACTTATTAATTAAATGGCCTTGATATGCCCTGGGTGGAATAAGGACTCAGCTACATTAGCAAAGAAACAGCGATGTGAATGCACTATAAACATGCAACACAAGATGGCTCCAGAGAGAAGGAAATTTTAAAACGCCATAGAGATTTTTTTCTTTTGTTAAAACAATGTAATTTCTGGCTTATTTATAGCGTTGCTTTCCTGTGTTTAAAGGTAAAGGTATCTCTGACCGTTAGATCCAATTGCGGATGACTCTGGGGTTGCCAGCTCATCTCGCTCTATAGGCTGAGGGAGCAGGCGTTTGTCCACAGACAGCTTCCGGGTCATGTGGCCAGTATGACTAAGCCGCTTCTGGCAAACCAGAACAGTGCACAGAAACGCCGTTTACCTTCCCGCTGGAGCGGTACCTATTTATCTACATGCACTTTGACGTGCTTTCGAACTGCTAAGTGGCCAGGAGCTGGGACCGAACAATAGGAGCTCACCCCATCACGGGGATTCGAACCACCGACCTGATCAGCAACCCCTAGGCTCTGTGGTTTAGACCTGTGTTTAGATCCATCCTAACACACAAATGAGAACTAAGTTATCCACCAGAAACTGCACTTCTTCAAAGGTTGCAAGACAGTTATTTCGCAGCTTGAGTTGATTGGAATCTGCCTTTAGGTATGCACGGTGAGAGAAAATACACACTTAGATAGGGTTTAGAAAGCATTGTTTTGAATTTTTTAATGCACATTAATTCAGAAATGGAATGAAAAACCTATGAAAACAACTCTTAACAGGTGACAGATCTGTCCATTCCTAGCTGTGTATTACAATAGGACTGTGCTTACCTGTAGCCAATGTCATCCCAGCCACGGAAATCCTGGTGGAATCTCTGCACTGAGCGCATGTCCGCTGCACACGATGGGAAGCTTCGGCATGGCTTTGCAGGGGTGCTAGTGTGGTGGATGTATACGAAGCCCAGGGGCAACTGAAGCTGTGTGGGTGTTCCTCTGTAGGGTCGGGCACCCCACATGCACCGTGGGATGATTGCAGGACACTCTGTGAGGGGAGAAGAACACGGCCGATAAAGTAGGCCATGCAGTTAGAAAGCAGGTCAGCCAGCATGTCTGCTTGGTGGAGGGGCAAATTGTAGGACAAAGGTGTTATTTGAGGCACAGCTCCTAGGTAAGGGTAGATAAAGGACTCCTGGACAGATCCATCCAGTCAAAGGCAACTATGGGGTTGCAGCGCTCATCTCGCTTTCAGGCCGAGGGAGCCGGTGTTTGTCCACAGACAGCTTGTCAGGTCACGTGGCCAGCATGATTAAACCGCTTCTGGAGCAACAGGACACCGTGACAGAAACCTGAGCGCACGGAAATGCTGTTTACCTTCCCGCCACAGCGGTACCTATTTATCTACTTGCACTGGTGTGCTTTTGATCTGCTAGGTTGGCAGGAGCTGGGACAGAGCAACAGGAGCTCACCCTGTCATGGGGATTCGAACCACCGATCTTCTGATCGGCAAGCCCAAGAGGCTCCGTGGTTTAGACCACAACGCCACCTGCATCCTAGGGCCAGATCACAGACAACCAGCTCTCCATGTGCTTAGAGCTATTATGTGATTTCACTCTCAACTATCCCTGTGCATCAGGATAAACCAGGCTCATATGGTCCCCCCTACCCTGTTACATTTCGCATTCACATACCCTCCAAAATCCTAGTGATCGGAATTGGTCCCAAGCTCTTACGGGAGCCAGCTGACTCGTGCTAGAGCAATGGACCCCAAACGGGGACATCCCAGGATCCAGCCAGAAGCAAGGACGGCTTCGATAATTCCAGGAGGTTCCACTCAAATCGGGATGCTTGAAAGGTATGCGTTCATGTACAGTCTACATCAGGGGTAGGCAACTTAAGGCCCATGGGCCACAAGCGGCCCACCAGGGTCATTTAACTGGCCCATGAGCTGCCCCCGAACTGAGCTGCCTGCTCAGTGAGTCCCTGCGCGTTGCACTAAACCGATGCAGCGTGGCGCGGGGACTCGCTTCCGTAGTGCCGGAAATTGCGTCTGTGCATGCACAGACGTCGGAAATCGCGGGTGCAACCGCAATCTGGCCCATGGAGGGATCTCCGCTGGAGTGAACCGGCCCAGGCGAGGTAAACCTTGCTGACCCCTGGTCTACATTGCTAATGTCATAGGCACCAACTCTATGGGGCCCTGGTCCCTTTGCCCCTCCAATAAAATATTTAGGGGGACACACACACAATATTTTGTGCAAGTTGGTGCCTTCCTCCTTTTCGGCACCATTTCTGAGCACGTCTGAACAAGGGCATCTGGGAGGAGGCAGGCTGGCCGGCCATTAGGAGAGGCAAGGGGGTGGGGTGGGGAGGGGTCATGGGAGGCAAGCGAGCAGCCCCAAATGTTTTGCACATGGGTGGGAGGTAAGGGGCGAGCAGATGGGGGGGGGGGGAGGAAAGGCCTGCTCCCAGTTGCTCACGTTGGAGGAAGGTGTGCTCTGCAGAAATGCAGGGAGGAGGAAGAAATGCGAGTGGGGGGGGTCCTTCCAACTTCTTTTTTTCCTGGGTCTGCAGTGAGATCCATGTCCTCTACTCTTCCCCTTCCCCTCCACAAAATGAGAGTCTGTGTAATTTGCCCCAAACGTCTTAGCAGAAAAGTGGGATGTGATTATGTTAAATAAATGAATCACGTGGGCTTTGAAAAGATGTACATGTGGGCAGTATCCCATTTATGTAGTAAGAGGATCTCTTGTTTAGGATGGAATAGGGTAGGAGACAAACAGAGAACTAGTAGGGAGAAGTATATTTACATTTAAGGACCTCTAACAAGGGATGTGGGAGGGGATTTGATTCAGTGTGCATTTACAGCTGAATGTATTGCCCTTTTCGAAACAATCTGAGAACTAAAGCGCACCCATCCTTCAAAATGTGCCCTTCTCTGAATTTTGCCAGTGTAGTTCTCCAACCTAAGTACACAGGAGACAGGAATAAATCCGTTCTGGAGATATGGTTTTCCACATGTGATCCATACCTACATACAAAGCCGTGAATTCTTCTACAGCCTGGTTTGCGACAGATCTCAGTTCTTCATTTGTGAGGCCATCAAACAAGGGGTTGCTTTCATTCAGCCTCCGGAGCAGGAGGAGAGAATCCTCTACTTGCATCTTCAGCTTTTCCTTGCTCACCAGAGCTGCAAAGTTCTTTCGTCGGAAGTTGCTCTGCATCGGACTTTCACCTCCTAGGCCCTCTCCACCATAATAATCCTTCAGTAGGACACTGAGGTTGGATGGCGGATCTGCTTTCTCTGCCAAGTAAGTACCTAGAATGAGGCCATCCATTGCACCATTGATAAAAGCATCTGGAAGAGTCGAGGGAGCCCCCATCAAGGTGAACTTTTGAGGTGCAGAGATGCTGTCCCAGCAGCCGTCTGGTCCCAGGGCCACCTGGCTTTGGTTGGTGTGAAAGAGGAGAAAGGCTTTGCCGAGGTCCATGGCGATTGTTGTGGCGACGAGGGGCTCCAGAGTAAGGGGTAGCTCTACCACAGAACTATTGGTGGAGTTGGCGATCAAAGGTGTGGCGTGCAGAGTCTCCTTATGGCTCCTCTGGAGCCCTGCAGCTATCCCAGAAAGAAGAGGACTGAGCGAAACTGTAGTCCCATCAGGAGTCAAGACCACCCCGTGTTCTACCAAGGAGGCGTCAACCTCGTGGTTCACCAGGTTTTTGAGGAAAATGCTCTGCTGCTCACTCAAATAAGACACATCTGAGGGTGCCAAAGTCACCGGGCCGAGGAGAAGCTGGCAGAGCTCGCCCTCGCAACATTCCAGCTCCCGGAAAAGCTCTGTCACAGTCTGGTCCAGGGTCCCTCTCAGCTGGGATTCAAAGTCTTCCAAAACTCCAGTCACAGAGTCCATGTGCAATGTTGAATAATCTGGAAAGGGCAGGATTGAAATATCACAATTGGAGTGAGCAAGCAGACAGTGGGACAAGAGAAAGCAGATGTTAAAGAGCAGGTTTCTGTGGGGAAAGTGGCATGGGGCCAGGGGGGGCATAGCCCCGGGCACACAGTTTTTAGGGGGCGCAAACCAGGTACCCCCAGGCAAGGGGGTCTCTAACTGAATGGCTGCTCAGCCAGCACTGGGGGTATTCACTTGTCAAGGGCTGTGTTGACGGCTGGTCTCCTCCCTCCACAGGCAGGCAGATGGCACAGTGCAGCCCGGATTGGCTCTGGTGGCAAGGGCTGGGCTGGTGCACAGGCTCTGTGCCCACCCGCCTGGAGAGGATCTAGGAGTCTTGGTTGACCACAAACTTGACATGAGCCAACAGTGTGACGTGGCAGCTAAAAAAGCCAATGCAATTCTGGGCTGCATCAATAGGAGTATAGCATCTAGATCAAGGGAAGTAATAATGCCACTGTATTCTGCTCTGGTCAGACCTCACCTGGAGTACTGTGTCCAGTTCTGGGCACCACAGTTCAAGAAGGACACTGACAAACTGGAACGTGTCCAGAGGAGGGCAACCAAAATGGTCAAAGGCCTGGAAACGATGCCTTATGAGGAACGGCTAAGGGAGCTGGGCATGTTTAGCCTGGAGAAGAGGAGGTTAAGGGGTGATATGATAGCCATGTTCAAATATATAAAAGGATGTCACATAGAGGAGGGAGAAAGGTTGTTTTCTGCTGCTCCAGAGAAGCGGACACGGAGCAATGGATCCAAACTACAAGAAAGAAGATTCCACCTAAACATTAGGAAGAACTTCCTGACAGTAAGAGCTGTTTGACAGTGGAATATGCTGCCAAGGAGTGTGGTGGAGTCTCCTTCTTTGGAGGTCTTTAAGCAGAGGCTTGACAACCATATGTCAGGAGTGCTCTGATGGTGTTTCCTGCTTGGCAGGGGGTTGGACTCGATGGCCCTTGTGGTCTCTTCCAACTCTATGATTCTATGATTCTATGATTCTATGAGGTGTTGGTGGCAAGGGCTGGGCTGGCACAGAGGAAAATCAGGCAACCACCAGGTAGGTAGGTACAGGATTGTAGCCTATGCCTGAATGAACCGGGCTGCCCTTTGGCAACCGATGCCAGGACTGTAAAATTAACACACTGCTCAGCTAATGCAAGTCAGCTGTTGGTAACCATATTGGCTGACTCATATTAGGTCTATCAGAACATGCCCTTTGTGAAGAGAGAGAATTAAAACAGAAATGAATAGCGCTTGCGAGGCTTTCTGGTTATCCATCCGGCAAAAGCATGCAGGAATAGTGGAAGTTTTGAGGCAGGGCTAGAAGCAGATTCCCTGGACACCTGTGATTTCAAACAGAATTCAGGCCCCTGCCCATTCCCTTCTGTCCTTCTCAGACTCGTTCGTTTGTCACCCCAGAGGCTTTGTGAGAACAGAGCTAGCACAGCGCTGGGTGCATATTGGTCGAGTCTTACCTGTACTGTCCGCGGAGACACAGAAAAGCGCAGGTACGAGGCTCAGCCATGGTAGCAACATCTCGTCTGCTGGGTGAAGTGCAGCCTTTGATTGTGGAGCCAGCTGGCACCTGAAGCAATGAGGCGGGGAGGGGAGAAGCAAATAAATGTCAAGGGGCTGGACTGCTGAATGTGAGCTGGAGCCAATGAGGAAAGGCAGTGGTTCACAACATCCCCAGACCATACCCGCCCCCCATCATCCTGAATGGCAAAGCCTGTCTTCAGAACATGCAAATTTCACCTCTTCACTTGAGAAGCTATGTAGAAAGTGGCTTTTTAAGGACCCTTGAATGGTGTTGCAAAGCAAATGCTGATGTTCCACAAGTTCTGATTTTTTTTGGTACCCTGTTCTGCTGCAATTGATCTGCAAATACCTAGAAAGCTGTCCAGAGATACAGATGTGTGCAGAATGTTCTTGGGACTGTTAAAAAAAACTTTCCATTGTATTTTATTAGTGAAAGAATGGTCAAGTGCATAGCTTATTTTTGAACCTGGCTTTTGTTCAGCGTATTCAGGAGGCAGCTGTGACAGACAGCGTTCTTTCCTGGATATGAAAGATCTTGCTATGAGGTCACACATAGCCTTGGTGACTTCCGGATTAGATTAGTGCAATGCACCCTATGTCTGACTTCTCCTTGAAAAGTGCCTTGCAACAACAGCTGTCCATGAATGCAGCTGACCAACACATATTTTTTTCTCTTATTACTCCTCAGCGACATACACAACCAAACTTTCTCTAGATGTAACACTGCATTTCAGTTACCACCACAATCATATACATGTCTGCCCAGAAAAGAATCCCATTGAGTTAAATAGGCCTACATTTAAGTGCAAACAGGACTAGGGACTAGCCCCCACTTACCTGGGAGTAAGCCCTATCATCCCTCAGGGGGACTTACTTCCAAGTAGATGCGGTTAGGATTGTGGTGTAAGTATTACATCAGCTTGGCTTGCTCAGAACATGCAATGGAGCATATTTTTGTCAGGGGAATTGTCAGTTTGGACCTTGCAAGGCTTGCTGAACAGCAGAAAACAGGCACCCAGTAAAAGGTAAAGGACCCCTGGATGGTTAAGTCCAGTCAAAGGCGACTATGGGGTTGCGGCGCTCATCTCGCTTTCAGGCCGAGGGAGCCAGTGTTTGTCCACAGACAGCTTTCCGGGTCACGTGGCCAGCAGGACTAAACTGCTTCTAGCACTACAGAACACCGTGACGGAAACCAGAGTGCACAGAAATGCCATTTACCTTCCTGCTGCAGTGGTGCCTATTTATCTACTCACGCTGGCATGCTTTTGAACTGCTAGGTTGGCAGGAGCTGGGACAGAGCAATGGGAGCTCACCCCATCATGGGGATTCAAACCGCTGACCTGATCAGCAAGCCCAAGAGGCTCAGTGGTTTAGACTACAGTGTCACCTGCGTCCCTGAGGCACCCAGTATTGCAGCTATGACGGATTGCCTATAGTCTGAAGATGCAGGGAATGTGCGGATCAACCCTGAAACAAACTTGATGGAAACACATGGATGAAGGAGCCCTTATACTAGACCCTTACTGATTCCAGAAGTGTCATTTTTTGCACTTGTCTAGCTTCTAAAAATAAAAGCCAGACTGGGAGTGGGAACATTACCTGGCAGAAGCAGGTATCTGGAAGGACACTTAGTACAGTGGTACCTCGGGTTAAGAACTTAATTCGTTCTGGAGGGCCGTTCTTAACCTGAAACTGTTCTTAACCTGAGGTACCACTTTAGCTAATGAGCCTCCCGCTGCTACCGTGCTGCCGCCGCACGATTTCTGTTCTCATCCTGAAGCAAAGTTCTTAACCCGAGGTACTATTATTGGGTTAGTGGAGTCTGTAACCCGAAGCATCTGTAACCTGAAGCGTCTGTAACCCGAGGTACCACTGTACAACATTAAGACTACATATCCTTCCAAGAAAAGAGGTGTCTTCCCTGCTTGTTGCAACCTATTCTTCCCATCAGGAAGGAATCACCCCTAGCCTAAAAATGATTTAGCAGCAAGTCTGAACACACACACACACACACACACACTGCCCACTTCCCTTCGTGAGGAAACAGCTGGTCTCCCACCCTGTTCAGTCCTATCTAAATCATTCGATTTCACCAGATACGGTACATGCCTTTCCAAGAATAAACAACGTTCTCTGTTATCTATCTGAGGGGTCATTTTGTAACTCTGTGAACTTTCCTCCCTCATAACCCGAGTGGGTATGCTTGTTTGCCTCCTTGAATGTTCAGAAGGGAGCATGATTCATGCCAAGGGCTGAGTCAAACAGTTGCTGGGCATGCAGCAACTACTTCGCTCCTGCACAAACCAGCTCCTTTTCTGCAGGCTGCTGGTTTCGAGCAACAAAATTACGGTAGGTACCTGTCTCGCTTCACACTGTTTTTTAAGTTGTTTGCGGTGGTGTCATCAAAAACTTTAATTCAAAGCCACTGGTGGCACCTGCAAGAAACTAGCTGGTTGTACGCAGAGTTGACACATCCCCATGTACAATTTTCATTCAGTTTTCTAGTGGATATGATTGCACCCAGTTGGCCCCAATTCATAAAAAAATGTCAAGTTCCACTCACTGTGTCTTTCTCCTCCAAAGAGAGAGAGAAAGAATTTAGGCTGGACTGCCTATCCAGCTGTTGCTTCTTCTATTAATTAATTAATTGATTAATTTTATATTCTGTCCTTCATCCTACACATCTTAATCTGGACCGAGGCATCACAACCCACTAATAATTTTTTTAATTAATTATTATTATTAATTCCCTACTCATCTGGCTGGGTTTTCCCAGCCACTCTGGGCCTCTCCCAGCAGAATATAAACAATTATTAACAACTTGCTCATTGCACAACAACTTCATTTTCCTCCTCTCTTTGCAAGAGGGGCTTGGCCGTTATTCCTCCTACCCGCCCACCCCAAAATTCAGCAAAGATACTGTGGTTAGATCAAAGCTTAGAACATCACAAAAAAAGTGTGCCACTTCTGATGAAAGCCATGGCACGTGTATATCTCAGAATCTGCAGCAAATGGCCTCTGATGCAGAATCCAATTGCTATTTCAGGATTCTAGACCTCATGATGATAGAACACAGGTGACAAACATTGAAGCCTTCTTTCTTCTGTAAGTTTGGAAACCAGAATTCCATTTTCCTCGCTTCTTTAGTAATACCTGTCTCCCTATCCAGATTACTCGTATATTCCTGATCCCTCTCATCCTTGTTCTTGTCAGTTGAATCCAGAAATAACATTCCTTTGGGCAAGTAACTGCAGCATTTCTGTGCTTATTACAGCACCTGGCAGACTTCTATAGCAGTGGAATCAGTCATGTCTTTGTAGGGTTTCCGGAGGTGAGGAAGCTGCATTTCAGCATAGCTTCCTTTCCACCACAGTAGCCCCTATGGGTTTTCTAGTTGTAAAAGGAAGAATTTTGTAATTCTACATTTCAGCTTCCTAACCCCAACAGAGAAAAGCTATTCAGTGCTCCCCTGGAAAACTCCTCCTACAGGGATTCTCCACTCCGCAGCCATTTCACTCAAGGGCATAAAATCCCTGGAATTTATGGGATCACAACAGTTTTGGCACAGCTAGGGTGAGATGCAGCAATGACAAACCTAGACAGCATCTTAAAAAGCAGAGACATCACCTTGCCGACAAAGGTCCATATAGTTAAAACTATGGTTTTCCCAGTAGTGATGTATGGATGTGAGCGCTGGACCATAAAGAAGGCTGATCGCCATAGAATTGATGCTTTTGAATTATGGTGCTAGAGGAGACTCTTGAGAGTCCCATGGACTGCAAGAAGATCAAACCTATCCATTCTTAAGGAAATCAGCCCTGAGTGCTCACTGGAAGGACAGATCCTGAAGCTGAGACTCCAGTACTTTGGCCACCTCATGAGAAGAGAAGACTCTCTGGAAAAGACCCTGATGTTGGGAAAGATGGAGGGCACAAGGAGAAGGGGATGACAGAGGACAAGATGGTTGGACAGTGTTCTTGAAGCTACCAGCATGAGTTTGACCAAACTGTGGGAGGCAGTGGAAGACAGGAGTGCCTGGCGTGCTCTGGTCCATGGGGTCACGAAGAGTCAGACACGACCAAACGACTAAACAACAACAAGGGTGAGATGCAGAGGAGACTGAACTCCTGGTGAGTGCAGTAGCCCTGGGGAGAATAGCCTGTCCTCTTTTAGGGGAGGAGAAAGATGAAGAGGGCACCTCTATGCACAGTGCTCTCTGTGCAATCCCATCACCAAAGCCCACAAGAGCCATTCCCCTGTGCTATCTAATTGGAAAATGGATGCTTACCTTCCTCATGCAGCGAACCAGTGTGGTAATGCTGCCAGCTACCTGGGCTCAGGGATCTTATACCATTCCCGACAGCCGGCCAGCCTTACCCAAGCGATTTCCCCACGTTCGTGACAGATGCGACAGGCTGCTGCTTCTGCACCGCTAGCAAACCTGCTCTGTCAACGTGGGTGAGCTACCCAACCCCTCTGCTTGGAGGAATTCCCAGCGCTCTGACCTTGTTGACCTGCTGAGGGAGATCCCCTAAGCGCTCCAAGCAGGGATTTGGCAGCGTTTTGCTGGGAGGCACATTATTGACACAAGGAACCTAAACAAAGTAGGGCAACACATGAAGGCACGCAACCCTTTGGTATCTGGGGGTGGGGAAACCGAGGCAGCAGGGTAAGGGTTTCATTTCCTTAGCATCTCCAAAGTGGCAGAAATTATGCCTGGTGGATTCAGTCAGTGGAGAAGAAGACGATGTTCTGTGTTTGCTGATGAAAGTGTCCACCATGTGCAGAGGGTGGGGAGAAAACACATTATAGTTGTACCTTGGAAGTTGAACGGAATCCATTCCAGAAGTCCGTTTGACTTCCAAAATGTTCGGAAACCAAAGCGTGGCTTCTGATTGGTTGCAGGAAGCTCCTGCAGCCGATCGGAAGCTGCGGAAATCCATCATACGTTCGGCTTCCAAAAATAGTTCGCAAACCAGAACAGTCACTTCCGGGTTTGCAGCCTTCGGGAGTCAAAATGTTCAAGAACTAAGCTGTTTGAAAACCAATGTACGATTGTAGAGCTGACTCTTCCCCATCATTTATTATTTATGGAGTGAACTGAAAAACAGGGAGGACTTGGAGTTTGATTTAATTGGAAGTATAATTGCTCATATATCTTCAGTTGGAAGGCAGGATGAAAGGAGTCTGTGAGCTTGCCAAGGAACTGATAAGATTCTTTACTGAGTCATCAGCAGTTCGAAAGACTACTCTTCTTCCCAGGCCGAGAAGAAAAATGGTGTCAACATATTATTTCTTGGGACAGAGTAACTTTTGCAGCTGTTGTTAAAGTTGCAAAACAATGAAGTATGGGATGGAGCGATGCAGAATTTTCTGGAACAATGGGATATCAACTCTGCCCAAGGCATGATGGAGAACAATAACAACTGGGGGACAGAAAGACATAACATCTTACAAGGACAGGAAGAAACGCCACAGACAGAATAATTGCCACACACAGGAAGAACAAGGAAATAGTCTGAGTTCCTCACTTGTAGTTTTATAAATCATTTAATGTGTCAACACAAATAGAAGTTATTAATATTGGAGTTGTTGTATAAGGGATTATTATTATGACTGGAATGTAATGGAAATAAATAAGATTGTGGAATGCAGAAATAAAGCAAATAACCAAGCCACCAATTCTAGCACGCGGGGGCCCACTTTATCTAAATTATCTAATACTGTATTTGAACGATTGGTAATAATAATTGTATACAGTGGTACCTCATTTTGAGTCCGGGATCCGTTCCAGAGCCCCGGACACTCGACGAAAGTGATGCTCAACAAAGCACCGCTCTGTGCACGTGCGCAGAGCATTTTTGCAATTGTGCACATGCGTGAAGCGTGATTTAGCACTTCTGTGCATGCGCAAGCAGCAAACCCAGAAGTAACCCGTTCATCACAATGGACAAAAGACAGGGTGGAAGTAAATGGTGGTACCACTGTAATAAATTGGTATTGTTATAATGAGGCTATTATTGGATTGTAATTGAAAACTAACAAAAATATTATTAAAAAAGGAAAAAGAAAACACATTTGCTCACCCAGTTACCTACTTTGTTTCCTTCATTAGTGTCAGGGGTTCAGGAGCAGAGGCAAGGGCAAGGGAGGAAACAGAGAGCGAGGGGGAGGAGGCAGAAGAAAAGATGAGTGATGACGACGACCCGAGATCTCCGAGTCTTTCCAGTGAATCAGAAGATTCACAGAAAGGAGCACCAGTGGCCAGGGCAAGGGGGGAGCCTAGGGGGACGCCCCAGGAAGATAGAGCCAGAGGGGACTCAGAGGGGAGCAGTTGGAAATCGGGACCAGTGTCACCGCCAGAGAGCAGGGAAGAGGAAGGGAGCCAGGGATCAAGCGTTGGCAGCTCACAACAGGGGGGAGGGCACGAGTCCGGAGTGGCCACACCTCCATCGGGGAGCGAAGAAACGGGCAGTCGGCCGGTGGGAGGTTGGGCGCGCGCGCTGGTTCAAATGCACAGGAAAGTGGCACAGTAGGCAGCCCGGACAGGGAGCCAGGTCCTAAAGCCCGCCGAGAAGGAGGGAGAAGAGTCAGGGGGTCAGCGCCAGAGGAATCCCGGAAGGAAGAGACCCCGGGGGGCAGAGGGACCCAGAGAAGAACAGTCAGGCGGAAAAGGTGGAGCAGGGCTAGGATATTAGGTTGGTGTACAAGGGGCGGAGACTCAGACGGAGCTTCGCCGGTCTAACCATGAGACGTAGAGTTGCACGCAGCAGTTTGAGAATGGAAACTGTAACTCAATAAAGACTTTTGTTTAATGATCGCTGGCTAGCGTGATCCTCTGTGAGCTAGGATCTGGAAGCAGCTCTGACAATTAGCATAGAAACATGGGGTTTGTGCTTCATAGGGATACACTGCTGCTTGTCCCCATCTCTGTATTGACTCCTAACCCAACAAACCCACAGAAGCTAAGAGGACTAACTTTCTTTCTAGCTTACAGCCCCGTGATTGTTAATGGAGGCCAACGTTTCTGTGCGCCACAGATTCTCTTCTTGGACAACCATAGGCAACTGGTGCCCCTGTGGATTTAGCCCCCAGAATCTCCAGGCTAGCCACTGATCCCCACTCTGCATCTCCAGAACTGTGCAGTTGTGAACCACACCTGGAGTCCTGTAACCGGTTCTGGGCACCTCAATTTAACAAGGATATCGACAAGCTGGAACATGGGAAAAGGAAGGCAACCAATCAGTTGCCACAAACAGAACTTTAGTCCAATGTTGATTTGCTGGCCTGCACTGACAGCAAACATGACATAGCGATAATGGAGGTCAGGTGCTGCAATTTAGTTAAGATCTGCGGATAATTACCATGTTGCATCATATTTATTGCCTACATTTATATTTTGCCTTTCCTTCAAGGAGCTCAAGGCCATAAACATAGTTCTCTCCATTCCATTTTATTCCCACGACCCCCCTGGGGCTAGATGAGTGATTGTCTTCCAGTGAGCTTCATGCAACTAAATCCAGATTTGCTTAAGGTGGAGAATCCCTAACAGACCAATGACTTATTGCCGGATGAGATAGATTGTTCCCTGAAAAATTGTCGTTTTAGCCTTTTATTACTTAATTGCTTCCGGGTGTTATTACAATCGAGCAGTATCTAAAGCTTGCGAAACAAAATAAATAATTGTCAGAGTATTAATTGCAGGTAATGCCTGTTCTGGTCCGTCCAGATCTGAAAGAGTAGCATCATTCCTTTAAAGACTGTTACCATGTTAAGGTGCTCCCGGCTCACTGCAATGACCTAACTAAACTCCACCTACCTGCTTATCTAAGGATGACTGCAATTCCTCCGAGCTGATACCACACGGCTTCTGTTGTTCCGCACAGCAGCTAGCGCCATTTTGACGCCAAATGAAATACTGAATGCCAGTAATAGAAAGGGTAGCGGTTCGTTCGTTGCACGTAGCACATCGTTTCCCTCCTTTTAGGTGAGATTTCTGGTCTTGTCCAGTTTCCAGGTTTACAGATGTATAAGCCATTCTTTAATGTAGGGTACTATGAGGCAATAAGGCCAGATCAGGCTTTGCGGGTTAAGCTGTGTTGTAAGAATGGAAAAACACTGACCGTACGGGTGGAGGCCGGAAGTCAACAAAGGTAGAGGAATGCTGCCAAAAGTATTTGTGATTGAATGTATTGCCCTCAGCTGTACTTGAGGGATGATTCCAACAGATTCCACATGAAAAACGCTTATGTCCCTGTGGAGATGGCAGTACCGAATTGGTGGCGCATACCCTTCTGGCTTGGGGACGCGGGTGGCGTTGTGGGTAAAACCTCAGTGCCTAGGACTTGCTGACCATATGGTCGGCGGTTCGAATCCCTGTGGCGGGGTGCGCTCCTGTCGTTCGGTCCCAGCGCCTGCCAACCTAGCAGTTCGAAAGCACCCCCGGGTGCAAGTAGATAAATAGGGACCGCTTACCAGCGGGAAGGTAAACGGCGTTCCGTGTGCTGCGCTGGCTCGCCAGATGCAGCTTGTCACGCTGGCCACGTGACCCGGAAGTGTCTGCGGACAGCGCTGGCTCCCGGCCTATAGAGTGAGATGAGCGCACAACCCTAGAGTCTGGCAAGACTGGCTCGTACAGGCAGGGGTACCTTTACCTTTACCTTTACCTACCCTTCTGGCTTGCACTCTTTATAAAGACTTGAGGAATGAGATTATCACTCCTCTTTTATTGTCCGTTCCGGGTCACCCAACCACTGACACAGTGTCCTTTCTCTTGGCAGATCAACATGAGCAGGTGACAGCAAAGGTTGTAAGGTTTATAGCTGGGGCAATCAGCTATTGATTCAAAACCCTAAAATGTATTTTATGCTATTGACTTTTTATTCCTATTCTTTGTACTGTGGTACCTCGGGTTATATACGCTTCAGGTTACAGATTCCGCTAACCCAGAAATAGTACCTTGGGTTAAGAACTTTGCTTCAGGATGAGAACAGAAATCGTGCTCCGGCAGCACGGCAGCAGCAGGGGGCCCCATTAGCTAAAGTGGTGCTTCAGGTTAAGAACCGTTTCAGGTTAAGAACAGATCTCTGGAATGAATTAAGTACTTAACCCGAGGTGCCACTGTATATTTGTTTTATTGCTATGGCTGATGGCCATAGCAAATAAAGAGCTGCAAGTGAGGCATTCAAACTATATCCTTGTTCTTCCTCTGTGTGGATTATTCTGTCTGTGGCAAATAAAGATTCATTCATTCAAAAGTATTCGTGAAGCTGAAGGACCGAAATGTTGGGAGGACTGATATGGCATCGCTTTAAACGAATGCTTAAAAAAAAATGCTTGTTAGACCATTGCCAAGGGAGCCGGGGGTGCAACACAAATATTAAGTTTCCAAGTGTTGTGCAGGAGGGTTTTGAAAAGCCAAACTTCCCTCATCTATACAGCTGCTACAAGCAGAGAAGTCTTACTGGCGAGAGATTGGCCGCAGGCCAAGGTATCTCCAGCAGGCTCCTAGCTATTTGCAAGGGCATTCTGGTAGGATGAGGCCAATAACCGTATAATTAGTGGACAGATAAAACAGAAATTGTTCCACTGTAGATATTCCAATGCTTCTATGATTATGAAAG